TCAGCAACTCTAGAAAGATGGTAATTATGTCGTATCGAGATGTTGTTGAATTTATTTTCTGTTTTCATTTTATTAAACTGAATCATATTAATAAAGGGCATCACTCCCTGATGAGCTGCCAGTCCCTCAAGTAAACATAGAATACTGCAAAACTTAGTTTAACTTAAAATTTTAATGAAATCGCTGATAAATGAGAGTCTATATCAATAACAAATTTATTAGTCAAAGTAGAAAATTATTTAATATTTAACATACACAGTGCTGAATATTGAAATGGTGTGTCTGCTAAAGAGCTTAGTCTAAGACATGGTAGGTAGAGAAATAATGGCACTAGTGCAACTTCAGTTTTAATGTTTCAAAGAATTTATGTATCTGTCACAAATAAAAATAGCAGTGATTTATTCTTTTGTGGCCACTTCTGTTAAGAGAACTCAGCATGTTTGTTTTTTCTGGCTGTACCTGAGTCTTTGACTCCAGAGGACCATAGAAAGGGGAAGCCTATTTCTAGGAAAAATATTGTATATAATTATCTATCTTGCTGTAAACAATTTCATGCTTTTGACAGTAATAATGACACTTAACACTTAGATGGTGATAGTTATGCACAGATCTCTGGGTTTGCTCATGTTTCAGACAAGTATTTTTATTTTGTAAGGGGTAGATATATCTTTGCTTCTTTATTTGAAGTATATCATCTTGAGTTGTTAGCATCCCAGAAACATTTTTTGTAATTGAAATGTAACATTTTTATAATTCACAACTCACTTCTGTGGAACGAATTCCATGAAAAAAATGGTACTGTGCCTGCAGCTGGAAGTGAGTGGTCAGTTGAGGTAATAGCACAGTTCAGGAGGGCTAAAGCAATGGTCTAACAAGCAAAAGCTGAAATTTTAAAACCTGATCTTCCATTGGGCTCTGCATTGGCAGTTCTGGTCCCTGTTTTTACTTATGTTTATTAAGAGAAGTCTGAAGGGAGGGCTGGGGTTTTCCATGCTTTTCACTATGGTGCTTTTTGCCATATTCAAATCGCAGTTAAAGTTCTGTCTCCTTTAGCCCTGTCCATTTTCTCATCATAGTTAATTATAAACATCTTAAGAAAGGAAGATTCTTGAATTTAACAGATTATACTTGGACCTTCACAAATTGAAATTCACATGCTACATTAACTTCTTTGTTTAAGTCTAATTCCTCAGCTGGAACCCTACTAAGTGAATATGACCTCAAGAAACAGCTGTGGGAGCTTCTGAGTGATTTTTTGGATTCATATTTGCAAAACTATTTGTGATGTTCCGTAGTCACTTCTACCATATCAGCAGCAATTTCATTCTTGTCTTTCATCTATATTACTGTATTTTATACCCTGACCTTTTGCTCTTCCTTTGCCTTTCTGAACCTACATGAACTATTCGAAGCATGCTAGAAAGCATTTAACACCCTTCAGTATTGTCTTTCACAATAGCACTGCCATGATAACATTTAGAAGTCTGTTGAAGCAGACAAGCATTTTGTTCACTGCTTAACCAGATGCTTTCTATTCAAGCTGCTTGTGAGAAAACAGTATTCTTTTTTGTCATATTTCTTTTTTTTTTCTCCTTTATAAGAACATAGGCAAATAACATGTTCAGGCTTATCTAAAAATAATAATGGATCAGACACCTGTTTCTGAAAATAATCTTGCCGTATCCAAATTCACAGATACCCATCATGGACAGCTTTTTAAATGCACATAGTACCCATTTCCTCAATGCTCTTTATATTTTAAATTTCTACTTATTATTTATTTTGTTACATATTGTCCAGTATTCTCCCTGCTGTCTGAGGAGCTCACTTACAACCTAGTCATTACAATACCTGTATAATTTTTTGGAATTATTGTATTTAGAATTACAGATTTCTTAAATTCACGGGGTCCCAATCCTTGTTGGGACTTGTTTCATTTATTCAGCCTATGTTAAGATCACCTAATATAATTTCTGACTATGCCCTAAAAGCCTGCAGATGTTTTCCCAGTCTGCCTGTAATATTTAGAGTTGATCCTTTTGCTCTGTAAACAGTGAGCAATGTGAGGTAAATTAACCCTAACAAATGCCTTAATTGTGAAAATCATCAGCCTCTTTGGCTGGCTGAGGTGCTGCGTGAGCAGAGGAAGGCTGTTGCCATTTATCATTTTTTTGTCCTTGTTGCAGCTTTGTTTGCAAATACAAATGTACTGTCTTCAAAATGTTTCATCGGACACTATGTTTTTCCAATAGTTATTGGCTAAAATATGAATATCTTAAATTTATAATGTTTGGTGTCACAATACTGTATGTGTTGGAGACCAAGTTTCCAAAGTTATACCTTCCAGCTTCCTCCTGTTTTGGTGATATCTGTGGTTGTCCAGCTTACCTGAGAAATACCCTATCAGGGATTTACAAACAGATAAAAAAGGCTAGCTCTGGACACTCAGGTTTGAAATAAGCACCATCCTAATGTTCACACCATTCTTGAATTAGCTCTAAATTTGATGCTTATCACATGAAAATCTGCAGAATTTTTAGGTGCTTGAAGTTAAACAAAATCTGAAATTCTGTGCTCACTTCAGGCCAAAATTGTGATAATAATTCGAATTGTTTTCTAAATTGTGTTCCAGGATATAATTTCTCATATTCCTAACAGTTGGTGTAAACATAATCTGGGAAGGAAGTCCACACAGGGTGAATGCATCTTGCTGAACACACCACCTTTGCTGGCAGGGGAGCTGTAAAGCTTTTCCCACATCCAAGTTCCTTGCAGTTAGCACTCCTGTTTTATTTCTGTGGCATTTGTGTATTATTAAAAAATAAGCAATAATACTTTATGAAACAGTCCTCTAAAGTATGCTGCTGTGCTGATTATCCTTTTTCTTTCATTCCGTGTTGGACACAATAGTGCTTTGTGTTTGCATAGTTGTGTAATTTTTGTTACATGCAATGAGAGTTTGTTTTCATAGGGACTGTGTGTAAGAGCTCGGTGTGGATGTTTGTTATTATCATGTTGGACTCTAATGGGCTGGTGTTGCAAGTGCTGTTCTTGCTCAATGCCCTCCTCCCAACAAAGACTTGCAGGATCTGTTGCCTAAAAACATGCAACAGCTTAAACTAACAAAAGTAGCACTTTTTCACACAGAGTATCCCAACACGCAGCTTAATTTTTCCTTTGAAATTAATTGATGAATGAATAAACAGGTTTTTAATAATTAGGAAATGACATTGCAGCATGAAATGGAAATGTGTTTGAGAGATCTGGGGAGAGATTACACTTGCAGTAGTTTAACAATTTACCTCCATGTGCTAGTAGTATCTTTGTGTATCTTTTTACAACTAAGTTTCTGTTAAAATGATTTACTGTTGTTAGACTGCTTATTTCTTTTTAAAATGAATTCTTTGCTGGGCTACATAGGATGAAGATTCCCTTAATTTGCAGGAATAAAATAATTTCCAGCTGCTAATGTAGATTTCTATGGTAGATGTGAAGCCCTGAGTAGGGCAATATCTCTCAACTGAAGTACCATGAACTGTCCTTCTTAATGTTCTCCTCTAAAGGGAGTGCAGGATGTGGGGAGTTGGGAAAATAAGGGAAAGGGGCAGAAGGGGGAGGTGGTGCTGCTTTGTTTCCTTTTCTATAGACACGTGAAACTTTGAGGTTGCATTTCTCTGTGTTTGGCAGTGTCTGTGCATGATTTGTGTGTGTCTGTGTGTGTGTGTTAACTCAGACTGGAAGACCCAACCCTGCCTCTTCTGTGTGGACTCGATCCTCCTCTCTCCGAGGGGATCGTGTGTCAGTTTTGGCACAGCACACATGCAGTGGATCTTGGCAGCTCAGACTGCCCCTTCCAAGCATTTTTATATAGGAAGGGGTGTGTGCTGGCCAGTTTCAGAATTCTAGCACTGCTTTTTAACTGTGAGTTTCCAGAGTGCTTTCTATCCGTTTGTCAGTTTGGAGTTTGGTTAAATACACACATCCATGACAAATTAGCTGCCCTTCTCAGGAATATGTGGATGTAAGAGACATATAGGCTGACTTGAGGAAACTTGAAGCTGGAGATGAGCTTTTTACCACATTGCTCAGCATTTGGTACTTCCTGAAAATTTCTTCTATTAAATGGTGAAAAGTAAAATAGGTGAGGCCAAATATTTATCTTCCCTTCCTCAGAAAGGTGCTTTTAGTCAGTTTTGTCTATTCTTTTTTGTCTTCCCACTCTCTTTCCCATCCTTCTTGTGTAGTGACTGATATGAAGAAAAGCGAAAACCTGGAAAAATGTTTTCATTATAATTTGGAGAGTTTTCAGTTGACAGTTCTTCAAAAACTTTGCTTTTCAAATTTTTGGCAATGCTTAAGTTTGGATGTTTTTATAAAAATCATTGGAAAGTTTTATAGATTGGGTCTCACATTCATAAACCAAAAAAATCGAAAGTGAGAACTGAATCATCCAAGTTCTTTAAAACCTGGTTAGCAAATGTTTATGTGATTGACATTGATAAGAATGGCAAATAGGAGATCTACGTGAGTGCCAGGTAATTTTTTAATGGCCAAGACACTAGAATATTAGCACTGCCCACAACTCCTTGTCTAGGAAGCTGAAGGCTGAGTGCCCTTTAAATTTTTAACTTGGGTTATTTCATTGCATTTATCCTTTCTCAGACATAATTAAACAGGTGATGAAAAGCAAATTGTAAATAACATAGTTATCCCTTGTGTTGGAAAGAATAATGCTCAATGGTATTCATTCACATAAGTAGCGGGAAACGGATTCATGTATTTCCTATGCTTGAATAACTTAATATATCAGTTGTTGTGGTTCATCATTAAAATAATGGAATGGCAGTGTGCTTTTAAAATCCTAAATAGCAAGATATGCTTTGATAGAATGAGGCCAACTCATAAAATCAAAAGTATAACATAATAAATAAAATTCCAGAAACCTGAGCATGTCTACTACAGCTTTGCCCTCCTTCTGACTGTGGTGTTGATGTTGGCAGGCAGTAGGCTGTGATCGACAACTTGGGAGCAATGCCAAGGAAGACAACTGTGGAATCTGTGCAGGAGATGGTTCAACATGCAGGCTTGTGAGGGGACAAGCTAAGGCACATGTCTCACCAGAAAAAAGTAGGTTGCAAATTGATCCTATGATAATTTGTCCTTGTCTGTGTTTTCTCCTTGTATATTAGCATGCATATTGCAGTGACCTTTTAACTGTGTACTTGTTTGCAGTTTTACAAAGCTACTTATTCTAAAGTCTGTGCTAGATTAGTCTATTGAAATTCCATGAGGGATACCACACATTAGGGTATAGCTAGGAAAGAATTTGAGATATGCATTTTTTTTCTAGAGCTACTCAATTCTTTCTATCAGGAATAACCATCAAGATGCACATCTTATTTTAGAGGGTATCCTCATGTTGCAGTATATGTGATGCTGCAGCAATGTTTTTAAATCATGGAAACATCTTATAGGTGGTTTTATGGAAATTGTGGCCTGTGCATGAAAGTGCCTGCTTTTCAAATTAACTTTGCTTTTTCTTTTTTTTTTTTTTTTTTTTTGGTGTCTGAAGACAGTTGAACTTCAGGGGCAAGTTAACTACTTATATGGTACAAAAAGCACAAAGTGAAAGGGAATAATACTTCCGTCTCTTTTTTGTGTGTTTGGCTCAAATTTTACCACTCTTTTTCAAAATAGTTAACATCTTACTACAAGTAACTCTGTAGGTCCCAGTGGCATTGAAAATATAAAAGAGGAGGGGTATCAGAATTAGACCCTTTACTGGAGTCTTAAGAGTCTGGCTATTTGGATAAACGGGCAAAGTTTGTCACACAGAGGCTCACCTCTGACACTTGTGCTTCCCACTGCCATAGATGATGCTCCCTGGAATTTCACAGCATGTGTCCTGTGTGTTTATCATATGGGATAGTTGCCTCACATAATTTCTTCTGTTTTGGAACTCACCATATGTATTTGTCACGTGCAGTTGTCACATGGGGATGGGTCCTTTGGGGTTTATTACCTTCCTGCAAAGTCACAAGATGCAAGGGTGCACTTAAAGTCAGTATGCAAAGTTTCACTTGTGGTGTTCTGGCTCAGGTAAGAGCTGGCTACAATTGGCATCATTCGGTGGAAGGTCTACCATTGCCTTGAAGAATGCCTGTGGTTCATTGTTTCCTCTGTCATAATTCAGTGGTCCTTGAAGATTTCTTTAAATTTAAAGATCGAAAAAGATTATTCTGAGGAAAGATGTCAGTTATGCCAAGTTTTGGTTTTATCTTGCACTGCAGGAAGGTGGATGATGTGAATTAATTACCATTGACATAAGCCAAACAGTACACATGCTACTAAAGTCAGAAGATTTGATGTTTTCCTTGGTATTGTGACAGTGCCAAAATCTTTTTTTGGGTCAAGTTGTTCAACACTATGGAAGCAGTTCCATATAATCATCCTGTGTGTGAAAATAAAGCCATCCTTTCTTTGTCCTAATGTATTAGTGAAGGTAGGCATAGTAATTTGGAAGCTTTCAGAACTAGTGTTAGGAAGTAAAATATCAACACATGGCAGACATGTATTTAAGAGGGAGCTTCAGTTTGTGAGCAGGATGTGAATTTTACTATTCAATGAAGCAAATTAAAGAACTGGAAGGGAAGCAAGAGCCAAAGATTTTATTATAAAAAAGAGGCATAATGGAAAATAAAAGTGCCTGGTTATCTTAGTCCTTACTTTAGACAAAGAAATTTAGGCATTGATGGCAAACGATTTCTCATAAAGGACTCATTTTGTTTTATTGTCTTTTTTACATGTTTTTACATTAAATGAATGTCTTTGATCAGAAAGCTAAATAGCACTGAAAGGGAGCTTACTGTTTTGCAAATATGAAATGAATGGTCATTTCAAAAGTTCTTTATTTTTTCCACTAGCACTTAATTGCCTTTGAAAGACAAAGCAAGTTAAACTTCTGCCAGCAAGCCAGATTCTAACATTCTGGTAAAATGATTAAAGGTTTGACTAATGATATTCAAACAAAAAGTGTAATAGGTTGTAAAATGTACCGTCCCATTGGGAAGTGAGATATCATGGGCCTGATGTTTCTAGTACTATAGGCATGGAACTCCCATTAACTCCACTGCCCTTTTTGCACATGGAAAAATTGTAGGATTGGGCCCTGATCTCTGCTTTCTGCACTATTGTTGGCAGGAAACAGTAGGAAAGTGTTCTGGTTCTGATACCAATGAAGAAGAGGCTGGTTCAGAAATTTCCAGGGAGTGAAGTTGAAGGCATGGACTTGTCCTAGTCTGATTTTACTTAATTCCCAAACTGCAAGATACTTGCAAGTTTTACCTTTCTTAACTTTTTGCTAAAAAGCTTCTTACAAGAGTTTTCACTGTTGATGGCTTTGTAACTGTTTGAATTTCCTCTCGCCATGTGCTTTATTTCCTGTGGCACTTGTGTAACTAACCATTGGTCACTTTTTGTCAAATGTTTGTATACCATCATCCCCAAGCACACTTAACCAGAAACCTAATTTCACTTTGGTCATTTCTCTGAAGAGAGGCCTTTGGCCCAGCTACCTCTTGAATGTCATCAGCTGGCTCAGTTTTGTGACAACTTGCTGCCTCACGTTTTCTCCCCTCTTTGAAATCAATATATGTGGAGCTAGCAACCCCAGTTGTCAAGATTGCCTGATACTTCACCTTACACAACGGATTATTTGCCAAAATTCAACACTTTTGTCAGAAACTTTTCATGCCAGGTAAATGTTTTTGAGAAAATTCAGCCAAAACAACTCAGCGTATTCCAAGGACACAGCGGAGAAAAATATGTTTTTTCCCACTGTCAAAACATTCTTGAAACCTTTTCTTTAATATGTCTTAACATCTCCCATTGTTGGACTTGATCACAGATCAGGGATTTGAAATTTGGCAGGTAGTGGTCTTCTGGTCATGGACAAGTCTTTTGCAATGTCTGTGAACATCAACATATATTTTATGACAATCTTTTAAAAAACAAAAAAACCTCTACCTTTTCTTGCAAGATGCTTCTTGAATGTTAAGAGCTGACATTTCTGAAAACTAATCCTTGTAAGTGTTCTCTGGCTTGTTACAAGTCCCAACTGCATACAGATCATATGTGTGCAGCTTCCTTAGAATAAATTAACATTATTAACAGAAATGGACTGTTAAAAATTTTCCATGAGGTTGCTCTTGCTTTTCTACTTTACTGCAGTGTAGAACAGGTATCATGGGTTGAACTCTATGATGTCTACCTCACATTCAGGCATTCAAAAGAGACTTTATGGAGAGCTTCTAACTCTTCTGGCCTTCAAACTTATGACCAGAACTGAGGAGATCACATAAGGAGAGGGAAAGACAAGATGAGAGTGGCTGAACAGAAAGATTTGACATTAGTTCATATGCTGAAGGAAAGACAGATATGAAAAGGTGGGTGGAGGATGCAGGCCTGGCTGTACAGATACACTGAGTCAAGGAAAATAGGAAGAGAAGACGACTGAGATTAGATAAGGAATTGCGGTGGGAGATGGAGTCAAAAACACTTGGAGAGGAAGGGAAAAAATCAACTATGTGTAAAGCCAGGAGAGGGAATTGGGACTGATTTGGCATGAAAACTGTGTGTGTGGAAGGATAGGTGCCAACACATTAGCATTTCATTTTGGATAAGGAGTGTGTTTTTTTAAAGCAAATTTCGTCAAGGTCCTAACACGCTGCTCATCAGTTCACATCATGGAATGGTCTTGGAGAGGATAAATTCGAATTGTGTTGATGAAGCTAAACCAGAAGATGTGTCCCAGAAAAGCACCTGATATTCTCCAACAGCTACTGACTATACAGTCCATGGATCAGGCTGGAGTTAGTGCCAGTGAAGCACCTGCGATGTGTGCAGTGTGGATGCTGGGTCTTCAGCACCAGCTGTTTCAGTTTGCACATCTCTTTAGTTTGATTGGTTTACTTGGGGCTGTTATAGCTAATATGAAGCCTCCTTCTTTACTGATCTCTCTTGTCTTACCTGAACACTGGCTATTTCATTACTAATTTTGCACTGCATTTTCTTGAGATCCATTCCTTTGATGGGCTGCTTAATATACATCTTTGTATGTTTTCTCCAGTGCATACAAAGTGGAGAAGAGGTGTCCAGTAGTAAGTATGTGACTGAGTTGAGGCCTTACTGTCTCAAAAGCAGGTTACAAGACCTTAGAAGTACTTGCTCAGCAATGCAGAGAAGTGGCACTCTCAGCTGAAGAGGCAGCTTTGAGTCATAAGGCTGGTGCACAGAGGGATAGAGGTACAGGGAAGTGGGAGAGTATGAGACTGGAGAGGGAAGGGCTCAGAGGACAGAAAGGATGTGCCCATACACATTTTACAATGTGACTTTTAATGTTAAGATATATAACTGCTGCTTTCAGTAGCACATACTTACCTAGTTCCGGTATCTATTAAAGAGCACGTGTTTGCCTTTGCCCAGATTGTTGTCAGTCATAGGTCAGCACATATCCCAGCAGCAGTGACTTCTGAAATCATGCCTGATGCTAGAGTAGATGAGGGAAGCCATGGCAGTAAAACTCCAAATATTTTGAACTTTTTAGTTCCTGTGTGCTGGTAGTTGTTCCTGGATTATTGTTATCTGTATTTTTTGATCAGAACTGGGGAACTAGCGAATAAGTGCTGAGCAAATACATGGAAAGAAACAGTTTTTATAGACCTGAAATAAACCCTCTGGCCTGCTGAATGAGGAGAGAGGGAAAAATCCCAACTGGCCCATATGTGAAACAGTAAATGGGTCCACCATGGCCCACATGGAAAAATAAATAAAACCTGCTGAATTGGATTGAGTTTAGGAATGTGGCTCCTTTATTTTGATCCTAGGGATTAGCTCCCAGTCTTACCATAGCAGGGAGTCTGATCTTACTCTCATTGAGATCCAAAATCTAAATCCACATTAACACCATAGAACCAGGATCAAACCTTGACATCTAAAGTAAAAGCAATCCAGGAGCTTAATCAGCAAGTGCTGTGTGTAGTGTGTGTGCTGAGAGTCCCTGGGTAAGAGCAAAAAGCCCATTTCAAGCAGGTGCTGGAGAAAGATGACTCACATGCCATTGGAATCCCTTCTATGGAAGCAGTGTTAGAATAAAGACACAATATCTCACCTGTTTCTGAGTTTTTAAGGTGAGCCTTAATCTGAGCTCAGATTTTAGTCTAGTGTTTTTGTGTGTTCCGGATGATTTGGGGCTTATTCGTTTTCAGCTTTAGACAAAGATCAGCAATTAACTTCCAAAGAGACAGAAACAGTATAAGGGAAAGAAAAGATAGTCGAAAATTCTAAGTATAGATTTCAGGGTAGCAATTTCCCTTTATGTTTTTTTAAGAGTTCACTGCTTTTAACTGTGTGGATCCTACTGATTTAATGGAAAATGTACAGCATAACCATTTTTAAATGGGTTTACAGAGCCTTGTGTTTCTTTAAGAATATGAATTATATTCAACTGAGAATTGCAGACTTTTGGAATATATGGTTTTGGAGCCAGACCTGGACAAGCATAACTACTGTTTCATCAGAACTTAAAACTGTCCTTAGAAGGAGGAGTCCCTTAGGGTTGGTTATGTCCCTTTTTCTTCCAAACCCTCATCTTTGTTCAGAATTCCAAAAATCTCACTTTTAGTTTTTCCTATAGTTTACTTGTTCTCATGGAAAGACTGCCCTAAGTCATAATTATCTCATTCAGGTTACAAAAATCTGCTGTCAGACTTCTCAACAGGTCTGTGGGGCTGCAGACGTTGAGTGTTGCTGTGGCAGTGAACTTAGTCATCTCCTCTAATGCAAATAAAATGCTTTCTGGTAATATTGTCTCTGCTGCAGAGAAACACCAAATTTAGCACCCCCATGAGACTTTTGGACCATATCAGAGAGTGCTTCGGTGAGGGTGGAATGTCTGTAGTACTGCTAAAGGAATGTGAGGCATCCTGAAAAGGGATCAGCAGGGTCTGCCGAGGCAAGCAGAGCTCTCTGTGAGGAGGTGCAGGAAGCACAGCAGGACGACCCTGGTTGTTCTCAGGAGTATCAGTCCTACACACATCTGCACATTTGTAAACCTGGGCTGTGTCTGTGCAGCATGGACTGCCCTTGGTTCCACTTCAGAACAGCGGTTGCATGTGTTCAGAACTGGTCATAATCACACTTTTATTTGAGGTTTTGCACTGTGACTGCTCCTTGGTTGTCAAGATGGGATACGATCCTGACCAAGTAAGGACATATGGGCCCCTCAAACCTGCTTTCTCTCAAATACTGTAGAGCACATGTGAATTCAGCAGTTATTTCCTAACTTTAAAGATATACACACCCGCTACGTTCTGACTATCTCTAGCAATTCATCTGATGAAAAACCAAGATGCAAAAGGATATGAAGTGGTTCAGTAGTTAACATTTTTTTCCAGGACTCCTTAGCTGTATTATTGTTCTTACTGTAGTATTTTTCACCCTGGTGAAATACTCAAGTATGAAATTAATAAAGCTCATATTTTATTACATCCAAAATAAATTGTTGTATTTAAATGTCCTTCCTAGAAATTGACGATATAAAAACTGTAACATAAGAAGGTGTTTATTTCAGGAAGAATAATTGCAGCATTTGCTTGAAGTATCCTGAACATTTGGCAGGATTTCATACTTATGCTAAGGAGATGTAAACCAGAAGCTGATAATTTAGCATCTACTATAAGGGAGTCTGGTTTAAAGTGGAAAGAAACATTTTTCAACTATTTTTTAGTTAACACTAAACTCAACTGTTCTTCCTCTAAATATTGTATGAGTAATTCTGGCCCCAGTGTATCACTGACCTTCAAATCACGTTAGTTTCTGAATTTGCAAAAATGAACTTCTGCACCAGCCACTGGATGTGTGTTGGTGCCATCACTGAGCAGAGCATCTTGTGTGGGCTGTACCTGCAACGGGCACATGTTTGCCAGTCCTGCCTTGCAGGAGATGTACAGTTGGGTGACGATGGAAATGGGAGACAGCACATTGGTACTTTGCCCCTTGGATGCTTCCCTCTTCCTTTTGTGGATATCCCTGTGCATACCCTTTCCTGAGAGCGCTGCTTTTGTTGGCACAAGAGACTCTAGTCTATTGATTTGACTGTTAACTCGATTTTCTTGGGCAAATCACAGATTTCCTACATTTGAAATGGAAACTAATAACTTTCTGCCTTTGTAAAATGCACTGAAGTAAGTGTGTTGCACTTTTAAATATGAAGAAGCCTTTCAGGCAGCCAAAAGCTGTTTTGTATTGACATGTCCTGCTCAGGGCTGGTTTGGTTTATAGTTAATTTTAAATTGAGGCTCTTACTGGAAGAAATGATCTTATATGGTAAGTTAGATGCAGACGCTCTTTTATAACATATCCCTTATAGCTATTATATATTTGCTCTTAACTGGTCTGTAATTGGTTAAGGGTTAGTGTTAAGTAGATGATTTATTTCCTGTAAGTCCTGCCACTTATTAAAGTTGTGACCTGCAGCAGGAAATGAGGTGTGGGCAAAATGAGACTGAACAGCTGCAGATTTTTGTAAGGGGTAAGGACTACTTAGCAGATTCCTTATGTCAATTCAGTGATTAGGAAATAAAACTAGGACAACAGAGTGTAAATATGTTCCTAATACACAACTGACATTTCATTTGTTATTGTTAATAGCAAATCATTTTCCAAGAGCAAGAAAGATTTGCAGGTCCATTCGTAGGTCTGAACAGTTGCAGAACATAGCAAACAGACTCAGTATACTGTACTTAATAAAATACCATACTGTTTTTAATAGAAAAATTGTGAAACCTGTGAAATATTTTCTTGGACACATTTGACAGTTTTCAGTGTAGTTACGTGATGTACAAATTCCCTGATGAAAGATAACTTCTAATACAGTTGTTTAATTTTCCTAGGGGAAGAAACTGTGATTGCTGTTCCACATGGGAGTCGCAGTGTGAGAATTACCCTGAAAGGACCAGCACACCTTGGTATGACTGAGCTGTTTTATGTATTTATACATAGGCAGAAGATAAAAACAGAACCTTGTATCTGAACCAGTCCAAACTGTGGGAATATGGGTAAGATCATGACCTTGATACCTTGATTCCTCTTCCCATCTTTAATATCCAGCCTGGAGATAGTCCTAGAGAACACTGGAAAGTCTGCTTAGTAAAAAGAAAATGTACATATACTGATTACTAAACTGATTCTAAACTGATTACTTTCTAAACCAAGTAATTCCCATGTAAGATGTCTCAAATACATTACACTCTTGAGCAACATGCAAAAAAATTACTTCCAAAGGGTTGTGTGTGGAATCAATAACACTTGTATAATTCGGCACCAGATTTCTGTTGAAGCATCTGAGGTGGTGTAAATATTCCAGGTGAGGTCACACTTGGTCAGTGAGTGGTTTTCAAGGCTGAATAATCCAGGTACAAATGAAGTACAGAACAACTATTTGTTGTGCTATTTCCATGTAATTCTTTTGGTCAGTACATGCCACCAATGAGAAACAGTTTGCTATTCTGTTAGACATATGTTTCCTAATATTTTCTGTAAGGTTGATGGCAGTATTTGTGGTGATTTCTTTACCCATAGACCTAGTTTGCATAGAGAATTAATTATTTCAGTTGTAAGCTTGCCATACCAAGCAATAAAATAAACTATTAATTTAATATTTTGAACAACTTTTTTATTAGCAAAAGTGACAGAATTAGTCTGAATCACAGAAATAAAAAGAACTTCTGAGATTTGTGAACAGAAGTCAGAAATGCGTTTTATTGGAAAAATGCTAATCTATTTGTTTGCTTTCAAGAATATATTGTTGCATTCTTTCAAAGAAAAAATTGAATAAAACTCCCACTGCAGAACAGCTCCAGAGTGAAATAACTTCCAGATATACTGGTGACATCAACAATGTATAAAGCTGAACTTATATTGAAATAAATAATATTCCTTTAATACTGTTGCAGGGGATGTAGGAAGGAGTGATCCTGACCAGTTCAGGTCAGGACTCTTGGTCTTAAGTAGTTCTGCAGAAGGAAGTTGTTGTTGCAGTTTTGTATGAGGAAAAAGTACTAGATTCAGTGGCTCCTGGGGGATTTCTGGAAAGCTCCTGAGGAACGCAGCGGCAGCACGGTAACTAAGCACAGAGTGCTCCTGGCTTCCTACCCAGGGTGGTTCCGTAAAGAAGCTGTGGCTTGGCATCACCTTTGTTAGTTGGCTCTCCAGCTGGACGAGAATTGTGAAATGTTCCTTTAACCACTTCCCCCAGCACATCTGTTTGCAAATCTGGGAGGATTTAGACTTTTTTACCTAAAATTAAAATGACAGAGGTGAAAAACAATGGAGAGCTGGTGTGGGGAGAGAGGTGGCAATCGCTTCTGGTTTCATAGCCAGGTCTTGAAGAACCCTTCTTGGGGTGTGCTTTGGGACTCCTTTCCACTCTGTGTTTGTTTGTGGGTGTTTGTTGCTTAACAGAAAATATCGAATGATCCTTTGTCTGCAAATTCATTGAATTCTGTGTGGACGTGCTGGTATAACCTATAATTACAGGTTCCATTTGTCAGAGATGTTCTTCCTGACTTGCAAGGAGTTGAATTTAACAGGTGAAGCAGGGACTACTTATTGTTAAAATTTATACTGCCTCCTGTTGCCAATATGTATTTGTTCTTCAAGTGAAGTCAGCAGCACCAGCAAACACTCGAAGGGCACTATGGAGTGTCTGGCACTTTTCCCTTTATCTTGTGTTCTGTTGTGCTTCATCCTGGGTTTATGATCTGCTCTTGTTCCAGGGAAACACAGCTGCTGGACTAATCAAAAATGGAAATGTGGTTGGAGATGTAGCATGTAATGGATTTGAAACAAATGCTCTGAGCGTTGTTTTGCAATCAGCAGTTACTGTTTGAGTAACAACTGCATTTCTTTGGTTAGAAAGTGTTTTATTTGTCTGTATGGGCACTTTAAAACAGACTACAGATTCATCAGAAATCAAAGATGTTACTTTGTTTTTTTTTATGAACAGCTCCCGCCTATACTTCTGTCTGCTTGGGTTCTGTGAAAGATTTGGTGGAAAATAACCAAGTAATTAGCACAAAAATGGGTCTGAATAAAATGTTTCATTGTGTTGGTTTTGTTTTTGATTTGGACTGTATTATGGCTCTTCTAGCAGCTGTTTTAAAAGCATTAAAATCAAAAGAAAGACTGAAAGTTCCCTGAAATTAATCCTCCAGCAGAAGAAACAGGAAAACCAGAAGCTAATATTTTTACAAGTGGCTAATGCTAGATAACTGAGTTCATGAACTTAGGGAGGTTAAACACCACTAAAGGGAACTGATTTTTGTCATTTTTTTTCTCTGTTCACAGTGATTTGCATTAGGTGACAGTGTTTAACTGAGCATCTGTGCACTGCTCTGTCTTTGATGGATGCTGAGAGGAAGACAGTGCTGCTTGCATTTTGAAAAAAATGCATGTTTTTTTTGGGCCCCTCTATTGTGCTGTCTACAAATTAATCACATGGAAAAGAAACAGCTTTTGAGTAGCAACTTGACTTGCTGCTTACTGCACTTTGAGCAGTAATCCCTGGGAATTCTTCCATACATCTCTCTACACAGAGAGGTATCTGCAGTGGGTTCCCCACTGCACGCTGCCCTACTCCTTTCTGCCACCAAGAGCATGGGAGCTTTTTTATTGTAGGGCTTCCATGCACAGCTGGGCAAAGCATTTTTCCAAGGGGAAACATTCCTTTTGTTGAGGTAAGGGAAGTAACACACAGACACACAGTTATAGGTCTTTGGCACCAGTGATTGTCCTCTTAGGCACAGAAACAGGTGAGCACTCCAGAGAATTTCCTGTCCATGTGACTCTGCACATCTGGAGTCCTAAAGACCACTCAAGGAAATGTTTCCCTAACTTAGGATGGGGAAGCTTACTGCTGAAGTCAAACTCCCCAGCTCTCTAGGATAACAGGACCCTGTAAAACAAATTAATGTTTGGTGAATTCTTTTCTAAACCTTGTCTATAAAAGAGTTGAGGAAACCTTTGTTCTCAGTTACTGCTCCAAAACCAATGAAGTAGTTTTTTGGGAAGGAATTGCTCCCTGATAAGAATCACTATGTTCTGGATGTGTTAAATATACTAGATGCTTCGTTTCACTCTGTTTTAGAAGTCTGTGATGACAAGCACTAGACACTACTGAGCAGGAGTGTATTGCATCAGAGGTTATCTCTTGTGCTGTGGAACAGCTTCTCATCTCCCTGTGTGACACACTTCTGGGAAAATCTGAGCAGCTGTTCTAAGCTTCAGTGGTGTGACCTCCAGAGTTAGAGACCATCACTGTATAGCTAGACCTTGCAAATAAACACATGCTTTGGATCCACATTTAGCATAGCTCTGATGTAAACATATGTCAGCTCTCAGGGAGTTATTGTGTTGTTGGTTGCTGAACAATATTCTTGGTTTCTGCTTAGGAAAACATGATTTTTTTTTTTTTTATTAGGAAAACTAGCAAAAAGACTCTAAGGAAATGCAGCTCAGGACGCCAAATTAACATTTTTAACGTGTTTTTGCACCAGCTGGATGTCCTGCCTTGTAATCTTAAATGCTAGTTTTAAAGGGGTGCCGTACTCCTGAGTATCCTACTGACTTTATGTGGAATTGGAAGTACTTGAGATTTGCTGATTTTACTCTTATTCAACAAAATGAGAGAACAACAGACACCATGCATTATTACTCACTGTTAAGCAGTGTAAGTTTGGGGTCAAGACTTGCAGAAGCCTAATCCAAGAATGCTGAGTTACAGATATTTTAACAGGTTATTTTTTAATGCAACTAGGAAAGAAAACTTCCATGGAAGTGACAAACAAAATTATGTAGTAATCATCTAAATACTTGTTTTTTCTGTGATTTATTTATATCTATTTTTTCCGAATGGAAATGTGTTGGACAGTGGGGCACATTGGTTTCCAGAGATTTATTTTTTCTCTTTGACAAAGCACATTTGATTCACCACTAGATTCATATCCCGTGATCAACATAAAGTCATTTCCTAGAAACATATCCTTCCTTAAACTTCCTTCCAGCCATGTATGTGATCTTTGTTATACCTGTGAGCACAGTGGAACCTAATGCTTAGAAGCTTGGGTTAATGTTGGTAAGGAAATTTAATTTATTCTATCATTTCCTTCCTTGCTTTGTTGGGGGTGCTCCAGAATGCATGTTTATTTAAAAAATATGAAGGACGAAAACAGTAATGATGGACTGCAGCATTCAGAGTATGTTTTCAGTGCAGGTAAAACCAGATGCTTTTATCCTAATCTAGCCTGATTTAGGTAATTCTGTTTAAAGTACCAAAAAAGGCAAGGTAGTGGGAGAAAGAAAGTATTTATAGCTCATCAAAAGGTTCCTTTTAGCTTGCCTTGAGCTCATCTGAGATTCATGCCTTTCCCATGCAGTGCTCTGGTAGATTGTAACCAGACCAGTGTATTTGAAATCATGTATCTTGCTGTGCCTCTATGCTGTATTAGGCAGAGCCCAAAATTCTGCCTTCATTATGAATATCTTCCTTTAGCTTTGTCCACTCACAGTTCAGTCAGTTTGCTGGAAGTGATTTAATCCTAAAATACTTCATCTGTCTTCTGGAGGTTGTGGGCTGTTAGTTTAATCTGTTTCCAAGGAGCGCAGAACAACTCAAAAAGGGTTTGCATCACCACCTGTTCTGGGAAAGGGCCATCCCTCCTCTGGGATGGCAGCTGCCCACCTCCTGGCCCTTTTTCCTCACATGGGAAATATTCAGAGTGGAGTTAATGACCTTGGTACAGTGATACAGGTATTGAGATGAGTGTCAGATGAGTTTGGCACCATTCAGGCTTCTGTGGAGACTGGTTGTTGAGATTGCTTGACTTTTGAGTTGCATGGAAGTATGGGTTATTTTTCTGTATATTGATTCTATCAGTTTTGAGTTTCTTTCAGCTTTTCTGCTGAATCTGTTGGTTACACCAAGTGATACAAAGCACTTGGTGTAGGAAAAGCTGTCTCAGAAGTGCTTCTGGTATGAAAGAATAGTGTGTTCAGACAGATATTCCTCTGCTGACATGTCTTGCAGTTGGTATATCAGACTATAACCTGAAGCAGCTAATATTCTCACAGATACTCTGGGTGCTTTTAATGCACATAGATAGCTGTCACTTGCAAGGCACAGTTATAAACATTACTCTCTGACTTCCTTGAAAACAAAAACATCCTGTTTAAGTTTACCAATTGCATGTTTCTTCTTTAGTTATAGAATCAAAAACGCTACAAGGAGAAAAGGGAGAGCACAGTTTCAATGCTCCTGGAACATTTGTCATTGAAAATACAACTGTTGAATTTCAGAAGAGTACAGACAGGGAAATCATAAAGATCCAGGGACCTCTTGGAGCAGATTTCATTATCAAGGTGGGATGTGTGTATGTGCAAACTTATAAAGTATGTGCAGCAGGGTGGGTGGGTGTCCATCAGGTTGTAGCAGTGCAACAAAATCTTTTAGCTGGGAATTAAGGAATCCTAATTACAGTCCAGAGTTCATTTATGCTAAGTAAATCCAAACAATTTAAAATGTTACAAGATTAATGTCTTTCCTGTGGTGGGAAGTACCACAGGATCTTTAACGGTAAAAATGGCCAGGATTTTTGTTTTAGTGTTACTGAAAGAATATCAGTGTGACCCTGTGCAGGGGATTGAGTTAATCCAATTGCAGACTGCCACCTACTGAACCTGAGCATTGCTTCCAGCAGTGCCCCACGATCTCCCTTAGACATTGCTGATCCAACCACTGACCATTTCTAATCCTTTTAAATTTCTTTCTACCCAGACCACATACCAATGGCTTGCATCACACGTTAAGATATTTATATGCAGAAACATATCAATATTTGACAACCAAAGGAAGACACTCATGCAGTATGCCATTGGGAATGATGAATATTTCAATATTATCACACTACTTGGCTTTATTGGTTACGTTGTAGAAATAGGATTTCAGTAGTTTTCCTTTTGCACCTTCAGTATCCCACGTGCAGTTAGACTTGCCTGGCTGTGAATCTGTGCTTGGATCACTTAGAGACTTCTCCCTGCAGCAAATTTAAAAATTTTTGCTGAAAAAGAAATAAAACAGAAGAATACCATTAGGAACTCTGCCATTCCAGGATAGATGATTGAGTAGTCACGTTAGTACCTTGAATAATGTGGGGGAAAAAAAAGCAAGATTCAAATGCTTAGCTATTGAGAACTTAATGGTTACTGTAGACTGTCTAGAGACTTTAGGCCTGTTACCATCTTACTCTCTGCACTGCTGTTATGTATGAACTATGATTTGAAATGACATGAACTGTTGAGTACAGTGCACAAATGTGTTTTAATGGAAATTTCTTCAGACCAGGTACTCTGGATCAAAAGAGAGCGTGGTTCAGTTCTTTTTCTATCAACCCATCAGTCATCAGTGGAGACAAACTGAGTTCTTCCCCTGCACAGTGACATGTGGAGGAGGTAAGTAATGGCAATTCTTCAGGAGTGGTAACAACTGAAGATCAAAAGTATCTGATTTACAACCTTTACTCTGTGTTTTTATTGATTAAATGTTTGTGTTTCTTTGCACACTGGTAATTTTTCAGCAAAGTAAATTACAGAGTAGAAGGTAAGTAGGTTGGTTAAGCCAGTATCAGCATGGGGGATTTTATATGTTATGTTACTTGAAGTCATGTTCTTCCATAAACAGTGTTCATTTGAGTAAGAATGTTGACTAAGAAATAAGGATGTGACATTCAAAATGGAAAATCGCAATCCATAAAGGATATTTCAGGAAAGTAAGCAAAGAAACAAAATGAGATATTTTAAAATAAGAATAATCAAGAAATGGAGGAAGATGGTATTCCTGGCCTCAGTAGTAGACATGAGGGAGGGTTTTAAAACATTTTGTTGAGAAATTAATTACACAGAAAGCAGAATAAGTAAATAGAATTTAAAGAACAGCTACTATCAATACCTTTGATCTTAGACATTTGGTCCTAATGGTAGTTAGAGCAGCACGTGGTGCACTGTTGCAGCTACTCCTGGTTTAAACACTGCAGCTTAGATGAAGTGTAGCTCAGCTCTGCTACAGCTCATCCAGCCCAGCCCACTGCTTGGCATGTCTGGTTCTGCAAAACTAGCGTGACCTCATGGTAGGAGGGGTGTGTGACACTGCAGATAACTATTTCCCTTCAGCCAGCATTACCCAGGTCACCTGCAAAACAGACCAGGATGCGAGTGATACTGATGTAGGGATTTTCTGGAGAGTGCAAATATGGTTTAAATAGTTACTTGGGACATGAATAAAGAGAGTGAGAGATGCTTAAAGTACAAGCAGAGTCTGGAGATCTTTTGATGGACCATCCGTTTTGGCACTTGCACCTCCCTGTAATCTGAAATGCAGACAATATATGTGGATAATATGTAGTCCCACAGGAAACTACTGTATCTTACGAGATACTTGGCCTCATGAAGTGTGATTCTTGCTGGAGCTGTGAGTGGCAATACATATCCTCTGATGATTCCATCACACTGTGTTTATAATTTTTTTCCTTAACCTATCTGACAAGGGAAGAAGTATAAAGCCTCACAGTTACTTTTGAGGACTACATGTAAACACTGGATAACTCAAGGGACGTATTTACCTTCAAAGGTATTGGCTCAAATCCAGCCTTATTCAGACTGTTGTTATGGTTTGAAAATTATAGCTACATGTCAATCTCTTTGAAATTATCCAGGGTTTTTGAAGCCCTACTTTGTAGCTGCCTACAATATGAAACTGGTACCTTTATCAGTGGGGCTTGGCAGTCCTCAGGGGGAACAGGGACTGAAGAAGCATGAAAACTAAGCTTCTCAGTCATGAAAGTAGTAGTGTTAGGAACAGCATATTACAGAGGCTTGCAGCAAAGTTGTATTGCAGCTGCCTGGCTTTAACCTGTTATCTGAAAGTGGGTTTAGTGTCCAGATTGTCTGTTTGGCATTTTGTACTGGCAGTAGAAAAAGAAGTTCCTCACAACAGAGACTTGGCATCAGAATCCATTCCTCACTTGCTTCTTGCTGCTTCTACATTTAGTTCTCTAATCTCCCTGTGTTGGAAGGGGCATCTCAGAAAGCACAGTCAAGCTTTAATGAGCAAGAATGGCTAAAAATTGTGTTTCTTCTGTTTGCAAGTGGTATATCTTCTGGGTCCTTTCAGTACTTATAAGATCTGGAACATAGATGCTTTGAGCACTGGAACTGCTTAGTTCTTTATGGTTATCACTCTCATGCATGAAGACACTTTGGATCAGCCAAGAGACACACAACTGAAGCCATTGATATACAATACTTAGCATTTTTGGTAGACACTGGGACTTGTGCTGTTAGTTTATTGAGACTATTTGATTTTAATTCTTGTGGTTTCAAACTTTTTTTCTTTGCACATACCAGAACATCCTCCTCCTCTCCTTGGTTTAAGTCCAAATAAGCTTTTTTGAATGAGTCTTTTTTTCTTAGCCAAAAAAGAATCTAGTGGTTTATAAAACTCAGATCCCTTCTTATAACCAGTATCCACACAGAATTTTATTTTTTTTTACCCAAGTAGTTCAAGTTTTCTTTTGTTGGCTCTTCAACTAGGAATGTTCTTGAAGCTGTTTCTTGGTTTTCTGCAGTTTCTTAGCAATGTTTTTGGATCTCATCTTCAATTCCTTTGGCTTTCTGTTTTAAGTATTTTTTTTTTTTAGCATGAATGACTGTGTAATATAGCTCTCCAACATACATGGTAACTCCTCCTCAGGGGAGGGAAGTTATAAGTTGTAGAACATGTACTAGAACCATATGGCTTTGTAGGTTTGCCTTGTGACAGGTGAGCTGGTGCACTACATATATTCTTGTGTAATGTGAAAATATGTATGCCTTTACTCTTATAATACTATTAGAATAAAGTGCCAAAATCTCACCTAGTGTTAAGACAGGTTAATATAATTGTTATACTGAATTGCCTTAAATGAAAGTCTGGTCCTTCATGTTCCTGCTCACTGTTTCCTTGTTTAAAAGCAAGCAGAAAAAGAGTAATCCAGAAAATTAGTTCAATGGGCATCACATTATTGAGAGCAGGGGACAAGGTGTTTAAATTTCTTTCCATAACAAGATTTAACTTTACTTCTGCAATAGGTTATCAGCTTAATTCAGCTGAGTGTGTGGACATTCGTCTGAAGCGTGTTGTTCCTGACCACTATTGTCATTATCACCCAGAAAACAAGAAACCAAAGCCCAAGCTAAAAGAATGCAACATGGATCCCTGCCCCTCTAGGTCTGTATGACAAATCAATTTGTGTGTGATATAGTCACTTACTAAGGAACAGGCAATTGTATTTACTTGATTTCAGTTCTTTTCCTCTTTAGGGCTACTTAATCTTAGTTGATTATTGCACGTGTTAAAGGCTGATACCGCTGCCAAAAGATTTGAGGCACTTCTTCAGTGTTGCAGAATAGAACACTTTGCTTATACAGAGATACTGCAAATATCAATTTGTTTGAGGGCTAATTCTACGTTGTCTTTTGCTGAGTAGTACAGCACTAATATGAGGATTTTGTGAGGTTGTGTGAGGAGGACAGATTGCTTGCCTACTTTTGGATTTTTTGATGCTGCCATTCAGGATTTCTCAATAGCCAGACAGGAGCTCCAGTCAGCGCACAAGTTTTGCACATGGTTTAACTTGGTTCATTCATTTACCTACCATAAACATTTGATTCTTCATTGGTACTGTAGAGTTGACACTTCAAGAATCAAAGCTTGGGGCTACTTGTTTGGATTTTTTTAAAGTAGGAATTAAAAAAAAAAAAATCTTTCCAAGAAAATGTCCTTGTGGTACAAATGCCACAGGATATTAATGCCAAATTATAAAGGCTGTAGTACACATAAATTGTATTGAATTGCACTGCAGTATTTAAAACTAACTTTTGGATTGTCTGGTGAGGTTTCCTGGCTGTGCTAAAGAATCTTAAAATAACATCACAGTATCAAGTCCCAGAACCTTGCATTAACATGCCAGCTGGCTGAGCCAGAGTTATATGCAAGAAGAAAAGGAAACACTCTCAATGGATTTCATTTCCTATAGCTAAACTGTCCATTTCCTTTCATTTCTGTTGAACATAATTGTTGATAGTGACCTCTAACATTTATAGATGTGTAGACTTTCAAGATTTTTTTTTCCTGGAGAGTTGATCTCTGTATGGAGCAGAAGGACTTCAATAAAGCTTAATGGCAATGGGTGCCAAATGTTCCATAGCTGGAATGGGAAAATTAGGGAAAGAAAGGGTGTAATTATATTTTAACTTGCAAATTTAGTTTATACAGCCAGGAAAAGGGAAGTACTACTGGATATAATACCATATTTTTTAGCATTGGGAGTAAGGCTTTATGCTGTGTGGTTGAAATAAAAGAGCTCTAGAAGGGTCCTAAGCACCATTCAGGACCTATCTAGGATAAATCCTGTGATGTATTTGTTTCACTGATATTCATGTTCCTCAGCAGTCTTTGTTGCAGATATAAGTAAATATTTTCTTGTTAATAAAGTGGCACAGATCTAAAGGAACACTGATAATAAATTTCTCTGCTGAGGGCTTGCTCATTTAATATTTTATGGTGGTATGAAATATAGAAACTGTATGGTGAATAGTCCTCTATCCATACAGGAAAGGTAAGATCATACAAGTCATTGTTTAACATCAGGCTAATGTGTAATGAAGTAACATTCCTTCATTTCTCACTGGGAATTGCTTACTTAAGGCATGATCACATAAAAGTGTGTACTTGATGTACAATTTCGGGTATGAGAAATAATGATGCAATATTTATTTTTTTGACAGTGATGGATTTAAAGAAATCATGCCCTATGATCACTTCCAGCCACTCCCTCGGTATGTATAAGCAGGATAGCACATGTGTCAGCATCAGCACAATTTTCACTGCAAACACACTACTTGAATACTAAGATAATGAAACATCATCTGATTTTTTGCTACACAGGAGAGCAAGTTTAAAACAGTCCTGTAAACATTTCTGAAGCCTGTGATTCATTCAGTATGTTCTGGATGATTAGCTTAGCAGTAAGAGGTTAATATGCTCTTCTTGAAGATACCAATGTGAAGTCTTAAAATAAAGAGTTGTCCCCCTAAGCCGCCTTCTGCTGTAGTGCTGAGAAGAGCATGTTCTTTAAATTGCATGTGTGAATTCTTGTCTTGAAAGGTTTTTACTTTAAAGCTGCATGCAATTTTTTAGGACAGATCTCCTAGACAGGACTCCAGAATTTCTTTTTCCCTTGAGAGGTCTGATTCTTCTGGGTTTTTTTATATCTGTAGTCTATTGACATCAAGACTGACATGTCACTTTCAAGATAATGAATTGTCTGAATATGTCTTGTCAAACATGAAGTCATCAGAGCACAGCTTGTTGCCTTTTTTTTTGTTGATTTTTTTTTTTTTTTACCTAAAGCAATTACAAGGATTTAGAACTTCTCTGGAAGCCTTAGATGTTTTGTAAAGAATGTTAGGACTAAAAGGCATCGAGCCACATTTATTGTTAATGTAAAGAATTATAGTTGGTGGAGTTAGATGCATATTTATCTGAGCTGAACCTCTGCTTTATTAGGTCATGAAATGAATAATGTGTATTTTTCTAAAGAAGTAAAGATATGAAGTAATAAGAATGAAATCATAGACTTGCACGGCTCAGTGGAGCTCCTGATTACAGCTGATATAAATGTCATAGTTTATTTCTGTAGCAATTTGTCCTTGTGGATCTGCTGTCCTGTGATGTACTTTGGCTTCAATACATAGACTGGACTTTTTTTTCCTCTACAGCTTTATCCTGTAAGGTTCTCTAATTGTATTCTGTGTCTCTCCCCTTCCATTTCTTCTGCCAATTCCTTTGTACTTCAGATCTCTTCTGGAGCTCAGCACAATATATTTACATGAGTACTTCATCTTCTGAACCACTTAGGGCTTGGAGACCACTCGGAAGAGAAATTTGATCCCCCTTTCTGTGCTTTACTGTGCTCAGCACGTTTGCATGACACCGTGGTGAGATAGATTATGTCTGCGATAAAGCTGTGGGCAGGTTCTCTTATTTCAAACTCTAAGAACTACAGACAGAGCCCACCTCATTTCAGCACCTCGGTGTGTCCTGTCAGAAGGTATCATGGTCTTCCTGTGAGATGCTTCAGAGTAAGGACTGTAAAATAGCAGGCGGCCAAGCAGGGCTCAGAGTTGGTGCCAGCAGGAACGAGAGAGGAAACAGGCTGTGTTCTGCTGGGAGAGCTCATAAGGAAACAACAAAGATGTAGAAACAGCTTTTCTTACAGGAATTTCTGAAAGAAAACAGCAGCTGAAACAGACGGTTTGTTTACCTGCATCATGAGGTGACTCTGGTCCAGTGCAGACGCAGGTCTTGCTCCCATGTAGCAGGATTTGTCTGTGCTGTTCCCTGTCAAGTAACTGGAATGCATTAGCCTGTGCTGGTTCTGCTGGACTTCTTCCACCTTTTCTTTTTGCTTTTTCTTTTTGCTTTTTCTTTTCTTACCTGTGTCTTACATGCTGACCCAGGATTGGTCTTGCAAAGCGGGCGGAAAACCAAAGTACTGTAGATACACTGGAGCAAAGCTGTACAGGCTCCTTCACCTCACCCAGCAGTCCAACATCACACCTCCTACATAACACGAGGGCCATGTGGAGGGCTGCTCTGCAGTCCCGTGGTGTTTACCACTGCTTTCCCATTCACACAAGGAAGTTGTGGGAAAGTCATGGTGCGCACCACAAAATCTTGAAAGAGTTCTCCTGTGGCTAGAGTTGTAAATGCCCCACTGAAATATTTTTACAGATGGAGAATTCTTTTGAAATAAATAGAAAAATTTCCCAGGATGAAAATTTTCTTTTAAAGCTTTTGGAATGCCTCCATTTATTTCAGACTTGTTGGACTGTTGAGGATCCCCTGACAGCTGTGGGTTCTGGAAAGTATCTCCTTGACTGCTTGCCCAAGACCCCCCTTTTCCCCAGTAGCCACGGACCTCACTCCATCTTGAAAATGCTTGTGGGAGTATGGGATCTGGAGTGTGTTTGAAACTGATGAGATAAAGAAAAACAACTATAAAACTTCATGCTATAAACACTTGCAAGCCTTGTATTACACATAGCACAGTGAACCTTACCTATATAAATCCATGAGCTGCTAATTCATTAAATAGTTAATTGCTCTTTAGTTCCTGAGATTTTTAAAGAAAATGAGTTAACACTGGCCATTCATTTAAGTCAAAGAACAGTATAACTGTTGCTCTTCAAACGGGTTTTGTATTTGTGATATGTTATCAGTATCTCAGCATACAGCTTTATTCAGAATTCTTTTGAATATATACTCTATGGCTAATGTTCCATGGCTTGCTGTGCATTTATATATACTCATGAGTATATATACTCATTCTTCCATTGAGCTTAAGCATGATTAATATATTTTTGTAGGCAGTTTAATGAATTGCTTTAAATAGGAAGTGTCCTTGATTTACCTGCTGCATCATAAAAAGTATGTAGTAGTTGCTTAAATTTACCTTTGATTTATAGGCCTTTGCTTTATCAACTCTGATATTATGACTTCCTTTGTGATAGCCAAGTTACTCTTGATTAATTGATTTTGGTGGGATATTGTAGTACTCGCTGAGTCCATTGTTCATAATGGATATAATTATTTTCATGATCCTTTCTGAGCCCCTGCATTTATAATAGAAATAAGTTTTAAGTAACAGGACATTGATGAACCATAAGATGTGATGCAGGACTCAATCATTTCCCAAGCCCTGCCTTTGATTTGGGTGGATGGTGGAAAGAAAGCAGGAGATAAGAGGTGAAGGGTGAGAGATAAATGAAACTGAGTTTGTAGCCTAAAAACCTCCAGATAATTCTCACTTCAGGTGGTGCAACATTTGCTGTTTTTATTGTAGTTAGGTCAAAGATTGTGGATAGATGTCCATTTTGAAGAGTTTCCTTCCCAAAAAGTTGTTTATTATCCCTCTGTTGGAGGCTACTATCCCACAGCTCTGCTGGTTCACAGGTTTTTCTTAATCTTAAATTTTCCTTAATCTGTGCATTGCCCTGCTTTGGGAGGAATCAGCTTGATTAGCCAAAACAGCTGGGATGGATGAGAGCTGCCTTTTGCTTGAAGCAAGCTGGAAAGTGGGAATACAAGGCTCTTCAATGGCATTTTAATGAGGGTGGAAAACTCTTGCAGAACTGCAGTGATGACCAGCCAAATGATGCCTGTCACAATTTCTTCACAGTCCTTATGGACCAAGGCAGTTTGATATGAAATGTCTGGTTTTACCCTAAGTGTTAGAGTTCCCATTAAAATTACTTCCTGAACAGATTTTTTTAAGGGTGATCTGAATAATGTGGGCAGTGGTGAGGAACTGTGGATAGTAACATCCTGAGTCAGGACAGCCTGATCTGTCTTTGTCTTTGGACTTCATAGGATCTCAAGTACCTGGGCTTCTTGGCCTTTGACATTGGTAATAAGGGTCTATATGACCATGTAAATAAAAAATATTCTGTTTAGGTGATCTAGACTATTTAGAAGTAAATTCATTCCAGTAATCCAGCTCAGTATATTAATGGTCTTTAACTTGTGTACAAAAATAAGATTTTCAGTTATTTTTGGAAATAACTTAAATTTGTATTTTTGTCTTTCTTCTGATTTTGCACATGAATTTGAGCCTGGAATATTGCAATGTAGCTCTGTGATTCAATATATATGTGTGTGGTGAGAATCTGGCAAACTAACTATTAGTGGGTTTTAATTGACACTACGGTTGGATTCAGTATTTTGCTCTTTTAATAGAGGTTACTGGAATAAAAAATAGCCTTATTTTTAATATATCTGAGTTCTTTTTCCAGGTGGGAACATAATCCATGGACTGCATGTTCAGTTTCCTGTGGAGGTGGTATTCAGAGGAGAAGTTTTGTGTGTGTAGAGGAGACCATTCATGGAGAGATACTGCAAGTGGAAGAATGGAAATGCATGTATGCCCCAAAGCCCAAAGTCATTCAGACCTGCAATCTGTTTGATTGTCCGAAGTGGGTGGCAATGGAATGGTCTCAAGTAAGTTGAAAAGTACTTTGGACCTTTATTCTTTCTTTTCTAAAGGAAGCCTCCAGTCTTGTGTTACCATGTGTTTATGAGCACAGTGCTATTAGAAAAGTATAACCCTGAAAGATGATTCATAGTTCTTGCTAGGAGAAGTTTGTACTAAGCAATTCTGCCTGATAATCAAAACGTTCATGTGTCCGTGTGGAGGAAAATGCATGTAGAATTCTTTATGCCTTTTGAATTCCTGCTTTATATGGAGGAGAAGTTAGAGGCAGAGGTGAGGTCCCTCTGCAATCAGGTCATTTATGTCTCGGTTCTTGATAAATGTGGTATTTCACTGGATATAAGAGCTAAAGGCACGTCTGTCTTAGGGGCTGGCAACTCTGCAAGGGTGATTTTCCAGCATTCTTGCCTTTCATTACAGTAACAAGAGCATAAGCCAACTTGTCCTGGCTGTGGTTATCTGATACAGCCAGATAGCTCAGCACTCCTATAATTCCTTAGTTCATCCAAATGACATCACTGACACAGAGTGTAGAAACTGCAGCACGCCTGACCCAGCTTTAACTGCAAATGACCACTGTGCGAGGGTGTATTCTCAGTGCACAGCCATCTCTGGTTCTGTTGCCAATCAGATAAGCTTTATAGAACCCCAAGAAATCACTTGCATTCCCAAAACTTAGACTTTTTTTTTCCAGCATCAACCTTTTCTTTACTCGCTTAGCAATGCAGGGACAAATTCATGCGTCTCCATGGAAAAACTTAAGTGAGCACGTCATCAGCACTTGTAATTTCCTTTTTAAGAGTATTTGTAAATACAATAAAGAAATAGGTTGAGGTGGTTGTGTTGTCTCCTGCAGTGCACAGTGACCTGTGGCCGAGGCTTGCGGTACCGAGTGGTGCTGTGCATTGACCACCGCGGGCAGCACGTCGGGGGCTGTAACCCACAACTTAAACTGCACATAAAAGAGGAGTGCATCGTGCCAATACCGTGTTACAAGCCAAAAGGTAACTGGAATTTTGTCTGGGTCTGTTATTGTTTTACATTTTTGTTCAGAGAATTAAAAGCCCCTGGTAACCTTTTTCAGAAATGCCAGAAGCTGGAATTTACTAGGACTTATTTCAGCCTTGGCAGAAACAAGCACTTTAATTATTGGTGCTAGGAAAAGTGCCCTGCTGATATTTTTTGCTGATAATGTGGCCAGACTCTCATGAGGTGAACATGCAAACTGAATCTATACAGTCTGGTCAACTTGGGAAAACCAAAATAAATGAGGTTAACATGGGGAGGAGGAATTGTTCAATAATACTTAAAATGAAACTCCATATGTATCACCTGGGATCTTGTTTGTTTGTTCTTGTTAAATGTGTCAGCATTCTCAGTGGGCCTCAGCAGCTCATTAAGTTGTAATCAAACTGGTTTCCTTCTCCATTTCTGCATATTTAAAATAAAGAATGGAGCTCAAACATCACGAAGGAGTTCTCTAGTAAATGTTGTTCTATTATCCAGTTTTATCTTTTTTCAAAAGCATTAGATCAATAGGCAATATGAAGGTGAATAATGCTAACATCTACATTTTGCTTTGATTTTGGAGGAATTACTGAATGTTTTGGGGGGTTTTTTCCTCTACCAGAAAAAAGTCCTGTGGAAGCAAAATTGCCATGGTTTAAACAGGCCCATGAAATGGAAGAGACCGTAACAGTCTCAGAAGAGCCAACGTAAGTACATTGTGAAGAAACATTCCCAGTGTGTTTTGCAGATATCTGGAATGACTGTTGCTGTACAGTTTGCTTTGACCGTTGACCCTCCTTGGGAGATGAGTTGTGTTGTGAGCTGTTCCTAATTTTCCATCTCAATTGCTTCTGGAGCTCCTGTTCTGGATGACATGGAGCTACACTATTACAGTGTCCTGATATCATTGGAGCAATTCAAAGGGATCCTAACTGAGCCTTAATTAAGCCTTAATTAATGCACGTGGAAACATTTCAGCACATATAAATTAAATAAATTCAGTTGTTCTATCCCGGTCGTAGCTGTTACCTCAAGAATGTAGTGGTTGTATTAAAACTTAAGAGGTACTTTGTAGGCTTGCCAGGATTTCCTTGGGGGGTGAGACCAGTGCATAAAGAAAGTGAGAAAAACCTGCTGATCTCTGAGCTTAGCTAATCTGTGGGGGTAAATTGTGCTATTTTACATGTGTATATGTGTGAAATGGCATCTGGATTTTGTGAGTCCCCTTAAAAACTGATGAGTGTGAGCCTTGCAAATTCTAAGGATGAAAGCATAACTTAAATCCAGCTACACTTGTTCCTGACTCTCTTATATTAGGGCATCCATACAGTTGCTTATATCCCCGTGTGCATTTCATACATACATACATACATACATATGTGTATGTAATATATTAATATATAGTATTTAATTTTCTATAAGGTTTTCATGAGAGATTTTGAACAGTATTTTGTTGTGCTCTGCAGAATTCTACACTCTTTGTAATAATGTCAGTTTGAAATAGTTTAGGTGAGCTTACTGAAGTTCCTTTGGATTTATATTTCTCTGAGAGCGGAGTGTGCCCTATGCTTATTTTTCTTCTTCCATCTAGCTATTCCTGGTTTTTGGCACACATGTAGCAACAGGTGTGATCATGAGTAATAAAATCTTTACACCTGCACTGACTCACAGAAGAAACCTCTTGCCAAACAGGTGTTTATATAGTTATGGTGACTGTACTTTAAACTTTTCACTGCACTAGCCTCTCAAGTCAAGTGTCAGCCTACTGTGAGCAGTTATTTCACTCTCCAAATTGGTGGCCCTGAATGCAGGCAGGGTAGTAGCAAAGACATAAAAATAAAGTGTGATTGTCGAAAGGGGTGATGCAACCAAATGTGCCTGTTGAATGTCAGCATAGCAGAATAGAGGTGTATGAGGCCACTTCTAAAGAGTCTTCAGCACGAAGCTATAAAGAAAATTATCTCTAGCATTACAAAATCCTGCTGTGGCAACTGTGAGCTAATGCAGTTTCTAGGTCTTTAGGGTCCTTCAGCATCAGTCTGACAGAACAAGCAGGGAGGACTGGCAGGGACACAGCATCTGGTTCAGAGTGTATATAGAATATAACAGAAATGAGCTGGAAACTTTGTCATGGGTTTCTTTGTACCTTGTCCTGACAAAGGAAGCAGTAATTCATCCTTCCTAGTTATGACAGATGTATTCTACTGCAGCCTCACCATGTGAATGGATCCATGTGTTCGAGTTCCCAGAGTGTTGTCACACCTGTGCAGTTTTGCAGTTTCCTGAATCTTTTTTCTTCTTCACTTATTCTGGAGACTGAGATGTTTTTCATCTTCCATTAATGATGCTCATCCTGTCCTGAGACCTTCCTTCACATTTTCCAGAAGCATCTTCACCTAAGTCTAAAAGGTTCCTCCAACCACTTCTTGCCGATGACTCCTCTCGGCCATCCCCTCTTTCCTGAGGTGTTGCTGAGGTGCTGTGCTTTCCTAGTCTGGGCATTCTGGGCTCTCCTGGGACCCAGCTCTAACACTGCAGCCAGATTCCCCATTAGTTTAATTTTGCCTGTATTCTGCTGCCAACTGCTCTTACTTTAGTCTTCTAAGGAAGCTGGCAGGTAAGGGGAAATTAGAAATAACTGGTCCCTGACTTCATTCCTTTTTGCAGATTTTCTGTTGGCCATGTGGACAATGGTTTGCAACCAGAGAGTTTCTCCATTGATGCCTTAAACCTTGTGCCCTAACTACTCTGGTCTTTTCCAGTTAGAGACAGATTTTTGGGTCATGGATTAAGTTTTAAAAAGAAACTGTAGCAGTAAGTTACTTTTCTCAGAATAAATTATAACAAGATTTTCCTCTGGTTTGGATCTGTTTAATTTTGTTTTCTGTAATTTATACATGACACAGTGATAACTCATAGCCCACCTCTACCCAGCAGGACACTTATGATTTCCTTGGTAATATGCCATCACTTTTAATTTTAGTTATTCTCTTGTCGTGCAAACTTAAACCACAATATGAAGTCTCAACTTCTAATACATCCTTTTATTACAACCGTCGTTCTCTGCTTTTGTGTGACATTTTAGTTGATAATGAATAAGAGAATAAATGCAGCTGTGTTTTAGAACCCACAAGCGATGGATACGCCAAAAGTAGCTTGTGGAAGATAAATATTTCTGCCGCTGTGGTCTACCACGGCTGGTGTCCTGAATTTACATAGAGTGGGAACGTTCAAAAGCTTCTTTTTTTTATTATTAGCAAAATAAAAAATGACTGTCCTTAAAGTGAGGCCAAGAAAAATGTAGGTCTGACCTTTTTAGTTCTTAGTTGTGGAATGTGATGACAGTTGATACCAATCATTATTTTAAATGTTCTTCCCTCGAGCCTTCTTAGTTACAGTGGGATTCACAGAGAAGATCAAGCAAGTTCTTGCATCCTTTTTATTAGTCCTAAGTTATAGAAATAGACACCTCAACTGCTTTTCAATGTCATGGCTTAGGACAAAGCTGAAATGGTTTCAAAAGCTGATACGTTTTTTCAGTAATATGAGCTAAAAAGTGATCACTAGGCTTGTGGAGTTGTACTCCCTGGATGTGAAATGCAGTGTCTCTCACAATGGTTCACACTCATTGTATTGGAGTCGTTTTCACAGAAATGTCCTCGCTGTGCCTTTGGCGATAATTACCCATTTTTCACAGCTCCTTCTCTGAAAATGGGCTGGTGATTTTGTGAAACACATTAGACTAAATGTTGATAAAACCAGCAGTGTGACTGTTTAGAGCAGCGGTGGTGCTGTAGGGGAGGGGCAGGTTGTCAGCGTTGTGGAAGTTCTGCCCCAGTAACAGCCAGCATTTCAGATAATTCAAACTTTTATCCAGGCCCCTTGGTGCACTAGAACTGGAAATATCACAAGAGCAGCCCTTTTTTTTTTTTCAGGATTTAGGCATTTCCTGTCTTTACTGAAAGCAAGAACTACAGGCATGAGGGGGGAAAAAAAAAAAGAAACACCGTGTTTTCGAAGTCTTTAGAAGGCTGCAGGGGGCTGCACTGAGTTCAGTTTTCAGGTCAGATTTGGTTTGGTTGTGTTGGGCTGCTCTGTCCCAGTATTGTCATCAGTAGTTTAGGTCACTGCTTCATTTCCCAGGTCATCCTACTTGGGCTTTTACAGCGTGCACCAGGTGAATGCACATTCCCATTAGTCTGACTGGTAACACTGCAGCCTGATGTGCTCTCTCTGTACTGTGTTCATTATTTATACCTGCACAAATAGAAGTATTTTAGTTCTGTATTGCACTGGGAAGAATGACTGTGCAAAAAGGCTGATTTGTGAAAAGTTGAACCTGCTAAAATTTGCATTTTTCCATGCTTTTGTTTTTTTTAATCAGATGTCTCATCTGCAAACTTAAAGATCTCAGAAAATTTTCATTTACCACTGTCCTACTCATTATAAATTCCCAATGATCTGCAAGGCATTGCAGTGCAAGTACTCTGATGCTTCTTAATCCATACCTGAGATAACTCTGAGTGTGTGCCCACTGAAGGCAGATTGAGTTTACTTCAGAGAAGTATTGTGCCCTAAGCATTGCCACGTGTATGCTGTGAATGCCACTGAGTGAAAAATGCATCACTTCTGAGGCTGGTGGTGTTGACTTTAATGACCTGTCGCAGGCTTTGCTTTTGCATGTTAAATGTAAAGTAAAAATTAAAAAAATCATATGCCTAAACTAAAAATTCAGATAAAATTCAGTTCTCTCATTGTCCAGTCAGTTCCTTGCTCTAATTTTTTATTGGCAATCTTCATTGGCTTCTATTGAAGGTACTTAGTGTGACTTTAACATGATCATCCTTGGAGCAGTTCTATAATTTAGGATTTCAATAGTCATGTGACTGGTTTAGCAAATGCCAAGGTAGAATAGAAAGTGTTTTGTGTGTTGCATTTTTATCTTGCACTTCACTGAAAAAATATCAAACACTAATATTCAACAGGAAAAGCTCAATTTAACATAGCCTTGCTAGAAACAAAAGAAAAAAATGCTTAGAATTTTCTGAGTTTCTTTATAAATCAATTGGTTACTGAATGAAGTGATTGCTAAGGTTCAAAATTTCTTTTAATTTTTACAGGATTTCAAAAGAGCGTATTGTACATTATTGTGGAATGTTTTAATGTACTCAACTAGCAGTACACAAAACTAACACTTATTTCTGGTATGCTGCTGTCATGCTTTTACCAAAACAACTTATGCTTTCAGACTGCAGACTCCTAGGTGTGGTTAGAACACCAACCAACTCTTTTCAACTATAAATGTCCATCAGTTTTATTTTTTCAATTAGGTACATAGCTACAAATGGACTTCAATTTTTGGTGGTTTTTTTTTTACACAGAAGGAGAAGAAAGTAATCATTCTGTGAAGCCTGTGCACACTGGCCTTGATCCAATAAAGCACTTAAGCACAAGTTTCCCTCTGAACACATTATCGTCCCATTGACTTCAAAGCACAGCTAATATGCCTAAAGTTAGGCACATGCTTAAGTGTTTCATTGGATGAGGGTGCTTTTGCCACGCACACCTTAGGTAGTTTGCATGGCTGTCTTTGAAAAGACTGTGAAGTCTGCTGTTTCAGGGTTAAGCTGCTTCTATCTACTGCAGTGAGAGAAAGCCTTCCTTTGCAGCTTTTCCCATTAGAACTTGCTATCGAGAGCATCTGGACATTGACCCCCAGCAGCTGTGCCCTCGGACTCAGTGGGCTGTTGGGTTGTGCCAGTGGGGCATTTGCTCCGATTTGAGCACTGTATGACACAGCCATCCATCATTTTGATAGTCCTCTTCCAATAAAAATCAGTATGGTCATCTACTTGGAAGGTAGTCAGATTTGTGAAGGATGAGCAGTTGTAGTTCTCCTCGGTGTGAAGAGGAGCTGGGGATAGTGTGCCCTTTACTGAGATCTGTTGAGGACTATTTAGCTCTAACGAATATCCTGAGACTGTTCAAAGAAACGTTGATGGGCTTTTATATATTTATCTTTGTAGTAGAGTTGTATATGTATTTCTTTAACATCTCCTTAAAGAATAACCAGTTAACCTTGTAACCTCTGTTGGAAATGGGAATAGTCTTTTCCCCCAGAGAAAGTCCGCCTTGGGGTCTGTCTCAGTCACAGCCTGGGTGACTATCCCAAGGACTGAGTTGGAGTATCCTTACAGGCTATCCACCCATCTGTTCTCCTTTCCTCTGTTTGATTCTTCCTCTGTGTACACTGGCAAGAAGTTATTGGCGCAAGATGATAAACTGTCCACAGAATCAACCACACTGTTGACATTTTTCTGTGCTTGCTGTGTATGCAGAGCATAAATACTGATTTTTGTCTTACACAACTGTTCTTATATTTGTAAGGGCAGCTTTCCTGCAGTAAAGGAAAGATAATTCTTAATCCAAGATAAGGGGAAAATCTTTGAATACTAATTTGAATCTTTCCTCCCAAATGCATTTTTAACATTCGTCAAATATATCCTCCTATATCTCCTGCTGGTGTTTTAATCATCAGCTGCATTTGGAAACATAATAAAGAGCAACTACAGCCTTTTGAAACAAAATGTCAACTCTGTATTTTATTTCTTACAAAATATACCCCAGAGCCACCCAGCATGACTTTATTAATGAAACTCAACCCCTTGACTCTTGTGCCATTTTGAAAATTACTGTCAGTGGCCCTCAAAGTCAGGGAATATTATAACAAAATCACAATCTGTAAAATAAGATTTTACTGTAGTTCATCAGGAGCATAAATGCTTTCTAATAAAAATGATGGATTATAGACTGTTCTGGTCAGACTTCTTTATTGAAGATGAGAGGCTGCTTCCAAGATTGAATCTGAAGAGCAGCCTGTGGTGGTGGGCATTGGAGATAGCTGGATTTGAAAAGTACTCCTCTTCTCTCTCTTTGCTAATTATTAGTACAACATAAGGTGAGGGCCTCTCAGATTTAAGCAGACTGCAAATATACTTTTGGCATATGCCCAAGTCTGTGTACCTGGGGAGCTATTTTATGTTGTACAGAACTGTCTTCACGAGTTTCCCTTTTTTAGCACTGAAGGAGACTGAGAAGGAGACTTAGGTGATATCCTTTTTTCCTCAAAAAAGGACACAGCTTTTCCCTGTTCCTGTGATTCTTTCTTAGATTTTTTGCGAATTTTGGTAAATGGCTTAGAATGGGAGGCAAGTGAAAGACTGAAGACACTTGACTCTGCATTCTATTTAAGCATCAAATAGTATAATGTATTGTCTGCTCTGTGTATAAATATGCTGTGCACACACAGACACAACGACGTGGAATAAAATGGCAGTGTTTCTGCTGCACTGTGATTATTTGCAGGTTTATTCCTGAGCCCTGGTCCCCGTGCAGTGCCACGTGTGGCAGTGGTGTACAGGTGCGGGACGTGAAGTGCCGAATTCTTCTCGCGTTTACTCAGACCGAGGTTGAACTGCCTGAGGAGGAGTGTGAAGATGAGAAGCCACCAACAGAACGAGTCTGTCACCAGGTGTCCTGTGACAGTGATCCTGTCCCCTACACACCAGAATTTTCACATGCTGAAGATGGCAATGTGATTTACGACTGGGAATACATTGGGTTTACTCCTTGTTCTGCCACGTGCCTTGGAGGTACCTTTATTTATTTATTTATCCTGAGTTGTAAGAATTTGGCATTGTTTGATACTGTTGGGTCTTCTGTTAGGGTTACCCTAAAGTAGCTACGTTGATCTGTAGGAAAACATGCAGCTACAAGCTTTAACATATTTCTTGGCTATCCATAGAGTATTTCAAACTACTTTGTTTCATTTATCAAACACTGACTTTATTTGGTTAAGCAACTTGCTTTAGTCTTGCTGCTGCAGGAGCCTCTGCCAGGTAGTCAGTGGTACCAGCAAGTTTGATGCATCAGTGCTGGGAATATTTTAGATGACCTATCTTTTCCTAGGAACTGAAAGTGTATGATTACAGAGCTAAAATTCCCACGTTTATTCTTTATCTTCTGAAATGCTGCCATTTTCTGCAGTAAAGTAGGAATACAAAGTTTTAATTAGGGAGACTCACTTTCAGCCTTAGGAGCACGAAGATCAAACAGGAGTTAGTTTTGGTCTTGGTGCTGTCTATCCCTCCACAGGAACTCTGTGCCATACATCTGTCTGCAAGTAGTTAGGCACATTCCTTTTTGGATGTAATCGAATCTCCTTGTCGTCCTAAGTACATGTTACTAGACAAGGTTGCTACTACATACTGTGCTTTGGGACCAAACACAAGTGAGTTATGAAGTGTTAAGTGGAGGCAGTGGAATTGTGAACACACCTATAGATGACAGGACTGCTGACATCAGTGGGAAGTGAAGACAGTTGTACCCATAGAAGAAATAAAAAATGTAGAAAAGGGGAAAACAGAAACAATTGGAAGCAGAGAGCTAGATAGAGCTCACAGACAGCAACCTCTTTTGTGCTGTTCACCAGTTCAAACCTGGAAGACAGAAGCTGGGAGGGATGCCCCAGAATGGGATCAGCAGGATGGTAAGTGATGGATAGTGCCTCCTTTATCAGTTACTACTGCTGTTTACTGAGGGGGTTGATCCATAGGAGTAACAGCACATGTGATGATAAAAGCTGAAACATCCCATCCCCTGCACTACCTGCAGTGGGCATTATGACTGGCAAGGGAGGAGAGACTGTAGTCCAATTAAGTGAGTATAAACAGGAGATGGAAGTGACAGCTATTGTGACTGTCTCTGTTTCTTTTTTTAAAGAGAGAAATGTTTTTGGAAATAAGGAGGTGTTCTAAAACTCCGAAGTTTTTCAAGTTTGAGGACATCATCAGATAGCTAGATTGAAATAATCTCTAGTCTTTTACTGCTGTTGCACATGTGCATGTTTACAGTGCCTGCATCTTCATGGGTGTTTGTCCACGCATAAAGCATCCACTTGCCCTTGGTGTGCAAGCTGATAGTAATTTAAGGAGCCTGTACTGAATATAGTAGTTTCATCTGAGGGAACTTCAGAATTACTGATGAGCAGAATCTCATGTTGACTTCTGACCCTTTCATGAATTTGGTAGATTCTCTGACCTAGAATTGTCCTGTAGGTGTTCATAGTGATCCAAACCATTTGTTTGATATGCAGTAGAAATTTCCCACTTGAAGAAGTTTGAAAGACAATATCTGTTTGTGTTCTTAAGACTTCTGTGGTATCATTGGTACTGTGTCTAGACATTTTCCTTATGTGATGCTCCAGGGAAATGTGGGAAGTTGTCAGGGTGTTTTATCAATGAACAGCTTCAGCAGCCCCTCTGCTGCTATGCTAGTTAGGTATCAGTGATTTTTTCCTTCTATCAGTTCTGGTCTTCTGGCTGCCTTGGCAAAGGCTTTCAAACAGACCAAAAATTACCTGCCGATAAATAGTTTTAGGGGAACCAGACATCTCTTCTGTTTCCAACTTATTGCAATGTACTAACTAATGATCTCACTGTCTACTATTTTTCCATTGTGTAGTTCAAAGTAGCTGATCCATTTCTGCTAAGTTTTATGTTCAAATTTCATTTCAATTAGATGAACTCTTTCGTTACAAGAAATAAATGTTGTCTGAGTTTGGAATATCCCAGTGTAATGTAAATTATATTAGGTACTTTTTCTCTAGTATGTACATATCTAGCAGTGGCTATTAAAATAAATTCCTGTGGATTTCTGTATCCTCAGAACTCCCTACCCCCGTTTCTTGGTGCTTAACTCTCCCTGAATGAGGGAAAAGTCTGCAGGGTCTATGTAGGCTGGAAGCTTTATAGCCACTATTTGAGCAAGGTCCGAATCTCTGTTTCAGAGCTTGTCACTTGCACCTTTTTTTTTAATCCTCGTACAGACTAGACTTGTAATTCAAAGTCTTCTCTGGTCTCTGCAAAGCAGACGAAAAACTGCAGATGGAAACACTGGGGTTTTTCAGCTATTAGAGTTACAGAGCAATCTGCAAGGCAATATCAAACATCATCTTTCCAGTTCCAGAGCAGTAGTAACATGAGTCTTGGGTCATTTTTGTGCTTTCTTCACCAAACGTGTGTGCACAGCACTTGGAGTGCCATACAACTTGCAGCTTCCCAGAACAGCTGTTGTGTTATGGCTGTTACCATAATTAATGCTTCTTTCATCAGTCTTTTCATGAGTGCAAATGGAAGTTGCTGGATCCTGTTTGTCATAAGGCAGATATCACCTTAAATATTCATAGGAAGCTCTGTAACCATCCTGAAAGCTAAAGATCTGTTTTTCCTTCAGTGCCTGAAGAAATCCCAAACTGAAAGTAAGCCAACTGTGTGCTTGGGGATCTCAGGATTTGCCTTTATTTTTCTGGAATGTTTTCAGGGGTTTCTTCAGTTTTGTTTTTGTTTTCTTTTAAATCTGTATAACTTTGGCCCTAGTGCGAGAGCCTCCAACATAAGTTTTATTTCTCATATTTTCAGTAGAGAATTGTTATCAGAATAAAGAGTACTCCTGAAATGTTTTTGTTGTATTGTATAGTATTTATTTAGTTTTGTCAATCATTTAACTACTCAATAGTATTTCAAAGGGATGTTTTCCATTTTAAAAAAATCACTGAACGTTTTCTTGTTTAAATATGCCTTCAGTTGCAAAAGGCGGATTTTGGTTGTTAAAAGCAATTATTATTATTTATACTCTATATGCTTTAGAAATTATGATTTGAGCCCCCTTAAGTAATTACACTGGCCTAAAAATAATGAGATTAAATAATAAATAACATAGGCACTTCCTATTATTTCCTCTTTAGTCTGTGGCTTTGGAAACTTTAGGGTGCAGTCAAGTTGTGCTTTTGGGTTTTTGTCTGGACCATAAGGGCTAAAAGTTTACCACTTTATTTATGAGAAACCTGAGATTCTTAGAAAATTAATGGGTTCTAGCCAAATTTAAGGGCTCTAAGAAAAACAGTGACCTTTCTGAGACTCACATATAAAGCTGAGAGCATTTGCTCTCAATTTGTGTTGTAGTCAGTTTGATAACTGGTACTCCTATCACTGGTTTCATTAATGGCAGATCCTGTTTACTCTTTTACAGAAGTTTAAAACAGATTTCCAGAGAGGCTCAGGGATTGGCATTTCTTCAGCTGTTAGTACATATTATTAAGCAGCCACCAAACTGAAACTATCTGTCCTTCCTCTTCCAGGCATAGAGAATAGACCCACCCTCTTACCTTTTGCACAGCAACTTTCAACCCCTATTTTCTTTGTACTCTAAAAGAGGCAGAAACAAAAATTCTGGGCTTTTTTCAAGCATTTTGATCTCTTAACACAGCTCCGTGCACTGTGTATTTCAATACACAGAAAAGATTGTAAAAGAATGTAAATGTATGTGGTTTGAATGCTGGGTTAAAATAGAAAATATTCTATTTCACGGAATAGTAGGGTAATTACTACAATAATGCATCAGATTACTGTAAAAATACTTAATACTCCCTGCTGCATACATAATGTTTTAGTTAAATTATCTACTGTGTTTATATTATAAGCCAAGAAAGTCATACATATAAAACTTTGCTTGTTTGAATAATAGATTTTTCCGCTTTCCAATTGATGTAGAGTAAGAAATTTATCAGTGATTGAAGTTCCCAACTAATGGAAAATTATAGTTTGGGGTGAGAAATCTGATTAATTTTGAAGACATTCAAGCAAATTAACATGAAATAAGTGCAGCTATTTATTGAATAAAGCTCTCGAACTGAGAACTAAGCAACAGGAAGGGAGTGTTCGGCAGGTATTTAACAACTCTTTAGTATCTCTTTTGTACTTTCAGCATCAAAACAAGGTGTAAGTTTTCTTTCAATTGGGCCGCTGTGGGGAAGAATTGCTACTGCAATTTGTGCTCTCTGCTTGACTCAAATGAAATACACACCACGTATCAACATTTCCTTCTCGTAATACAATTAAAGCTGTGCAGGTCGTGCTACAAGGCAGGAATGGCTTAATGAACTCCAGGTGGCAATTTGCAGTGAAAGCCCATCAGCTGGTATGACGTGCCTTTTGTTCATTTGGCTGGCCAATTTAGCTTATATAACACCAAGATAAAAAGTTCCCTTGGGATTATTGCCAGTTTAGATGGTCTGAAAGGAATCTTGCTTCTTTCCCCTCCTTTGTGTGAGATATTAAGAAGACACTACCTATTACAACCTGTTCCAGAGCAGCAGCACCACCTTAGAGTGCAGTTTTCCCACAGGATCACAGTGAGGTCAGCAAAGCTGAAGGTTGGTCACATAGGGTAGATTTTGACCTAAAATAGAGATTATATGGATGCTTGACATGGTCTTGATTGCTCTTCAGGTAGTTCCATTCTGTTTCTACTGGAACACAGTTTCTAAATTCTTACTTCCCTCCTGTAGGCAGTTGAATTTGCATTTCCTGTGTAAGGGGAAAGGGAAACTGCTCCTGTTTAAACAAACACATGGGGATTGACTGGACAGAAAATATTTGATTCTCCTCGTTGTCAATGTGCAATAGAAAAAAAATTATGTTTATTGGTTTGTCACCTTTGGGCATTTTCATGTCTGCATTATGGTCATGGTATTTGTGGTTAAGTATTTATTCTCAGCCTCACTAGTAAAATAGTTTTTCCACAGTTTGTGTGTTCTACTTAAATGTAATTATCAATACTTTGATACAAGAGAACTGAATGGGTTGTCAATCATATTTAAGGTCAGGTCTTTTGTTCTATAAAAATTCATCACTTTGTAGATGTAGTCAAAACATTTATATAACAAGGTCTTTCTGAACTGAAAATGAGTCCCAGAGGGGATCTCGAGGTGTACCAGAGAGCCTGAAAGAAATTGGAATCCATGTTATTCTGAAAATCACTGCTGGTTTACCCCTGCTGAAGTGTCTAAAGTAGCTGGACTGGCTCAAGTTTTGCAGGGAGGGACTGTGGCCTGGGCTGACTGATACACTGGACTAAGTCAGAATTATTTATAGACAGAAGGAACAGCTTTGGTTTATGAAAATAATGACAGTGCTCATGTACAGGAAAGAAATATGGGCCATTGGCATGGAGGCAGAACTTTGAGTGTGGGGTATTTCATGGAGCCCACTGGGATCAGAATGGCTGATGGTCAGCGGTGACAAGAAACTGCTCATTGTGCATATTTGACACAGAATCAGGAATAGTTGTAGCAGCTTTTGTGGTGTTGTTTTGAGGTAATGTCATAGGCGATACTATGAAGTGGTTAGTGAAGGTTTCCAGTTAAAAATGCAGCTCTCTTTGAAACCTTAGGAATTGGTCATAAGAAAAGAAATATAACCTGCTGCTGAAAATAAGTTCCTTACAAAATCACTGGAGATAAGTGAAAGATAAGAATGAAATGGATTTAAATTCTCTGAAACTGTAACTCTTTTTACCTGGAAACAACAAAATAGGTATATTTTATTATTTCAGTGCTTTTTTTGTTCTATAAGGTTATGATCATTAGCATTGCTTATATAGAACATTCCAGATACACAGAATCCCTCAGGCACATCACAACCATCTTGTATTTCATGTGCATGTGAGTGAGCTTTGAAATTGAGCAAGGTTTTCATACTAAAAAAATACGATATAGAAAATTGGATAATTACGTAGGTTTAAAATAGAAGTAGTTCACAAAATGTGTATTCACTAAGCTGACTTGTTCTAAAGGAAACTTAGATTACATTTCATTTTGACTCATAGAAATTCGAGTATTAGTAATCTTTCATGCTTCAGTAATAAGATCCAGGTAGCTGCAGATCAGAAGGTGCCAAGAACGGTCACGAGTGAGGAAAGCTCTAGGCTGGGTCAGATTTGCTGCCTTCAGCAAAACTGTTGCATCTCTTGGCCACTGTGAGAATGGCTGACTAAACATAGAACCTTTCTCCTGACTAGAGTTTTGCAGGTTTTCTGCAGTTTTTAATAACAGTTTTGCAGATCTTTAGCTTAAAGGCAAGTTAAGTGAGAAGGAATCACTTCTACCCTGATTTTGGCAGTGAAAGTAGTAGTTGGCTTAGGATCATTACAGAACCAGCAGATGTAGCCTCTGATAGTGTCTTGACAGACAAATCTATTTTCTGTTGTTTTTTCAGAGAGATAGAATGTCAAATCAAGCCTTTTAAATATCACAGAAGTAAAGTTCAAGATATAATTCACAAATATCTTTTGAGCATTAAATATGTAAACCTTCTCTCTGTCTTCCTTTTTGAGATGTTACTTTTAAGCCTTCTATCTAGTTCAGTGTTCCGAGCTTTTTTACTGAGTATTATTCAAGAGTAAGCTTTACAGGAATCTCTTCCACCTTCACTGTTTCACGAGCGTTTTCCTTTTGAATTCAGGAACACAGGAAGCCATTGCAATGTGTCTTCACGTAGAGACAAAACAAGGTGTCAACGAAACCTTGTGTGACAATTCCAAGAGACCACCACCAATGACTCGTACTTGCAACACGAAGCTTTGCCCTCCGAGGTACACTGTAATAATGAAACCATGTCGTGGCAAAGAAGTGGTTAATATGACTTACATAAACATTGGCTTTCTCAGAAAAGGTTCAGATTGCAGAACTGTGGTCATGCTTTGGGATGAAATTTCACTACTTCTGTTTTAAACAAGGTTTTGGGATTGGGGTGTTTTTTTGGTCTTGTTCACTCCTTTTCCACTCTTCACGTCCCACTAATAAAATAGGGGACGTTTTCTGAAATAAATCTCTTCCGTGTTGAATATTTGCCATAGTTGGAGAAAGAGCCTTAACTCTTCTAGTAGTAGAAAGCAAATTTTGAGTATATTTCATGAAGAAACAGAATATTTACTTTCTATCCTTACCAAATGATGAAAAAAATAATTCAGGATTAAAATGTACCTTCATTTAATGCTTCTTTAGTAGCCCCACAAAGTTCTTATGGCTTCTTATGTTTATTTGGTGATTCTGGGGAAAGAAGAAACCCATTCCAAATTCAAGAAAACCTCTAGATCATTTGGTCACTTGAAGGGGCCATATGTGAAATTTTGACGTGCGCTGCCTAATTTACCCACTTTTGATCTCTGACATCCCTGATCCTTTGCATATTGTTCTATGTGTTTGCAGAAACCTGCTCTTGCTAAATGTAGGCAAGAAGTTAACAGGAACAGGATGTTTTATAGAAAACATATACACATTTAAAGGAAGTTTTGCAAATGTAAGAAAGATCTATTTACATATTTACATTTATAAATGTAAACGTCAGCAGGTTGCCAACAGGCTGCTTTTTTAGAGGAGCACTCTGAAAGGAAATGTCAGAATTTGTCTGAAAATTACTCTTTATTAGTTAATAACTTCTGCATTTGCTTGTTACCTGCAAGTTTTTAAATCCAATTTATAATCCTGTGTTTCAGCCAAACGAAAGGGGTGTTTTAGCCATAGATCAATAACTGTGCCTGCAGTTGTGTTTTTTGCTAGGCCCTGTTTGGGCAGGAATGCTCCTTCCCCAGTCTGAGGTGTGTTGCTAAAAGGTGATCCTTTGGCTGTGTTGTTGGAACAGGTGGCAAAGCGGCCCCTGGAGACGCTGCTCGGCGACCTGTGGCGTTGGGATACAGACACGAGACGTGTCCTGCCAGCAGCCCGGAGGATCTGCTGTTGCTGCTGAAGAGTGCAAAGACCAAAAGCCTCATTCGTTACAAGCTTGTAACCAGATCGATTGTCCGCCTGTTTGGCACGTTGAGGAATGGCAGCAGGTATGACTGGGTTACGGAAGAAGGTTAAATGTGCTTCTCTGGACAGGGACTTGAAAAGCTCTAGTACAGAAGGTAGTTCCCCACCTTCTGTATGTAAGTGTTTCAACTTATGTCCTTAGAACAAACTAACCCAGGGTCAAAAGTACTGCTTTTGACTGTTGTGCCAATGAGCAGTCACAGGATGTCCCTTTTAAGATTTCAGAAGGATATCAGTTACTCCAGACATCATCTCTCTCTCTATGCTCTACAAACACAATAACCTACTTTTTTCTTCTTTTTCCTTGTAACTTTTTTTTTTTTTTTTTTTTTTTTTTTTTTTCTTTTTGTGTCTCAAGAGCAGTTTCCTAAGCTCCCACCAGATGTATTAACTGGTGAGGGACATAGGCATATCTGTGTGTAAGATGCATGTTTTTTTCAAGATTTGTACTACTTGCTTGCATCTAGGTGGTAGGTTTGATTTTTGAACTCAAGTTCTCATCGTCTCTAATGTATTAAATATTTTAACAGAAGAATTTTTTGTGCTGCTTGATTTTTTAATTGAAAGTAGATGTTATTTTTCGAGGGGGGAGGGTGAAACTTGCAGTGTTTGAATGCCACGGCAGTGTGATGGTGAGCACAGATGTCCATGCAGGAGTACGTGCTATGTTTTGTTCTTCTCAGTGTTCACATACTTGTGGAGGAGGGATTCAGACCCGCAACGTGTACTGTAAGCAGCTGTTGACAGATGGAAGTTTCCTGAAACACTCTGATGACACCTGCCAGGAACCTAAATTGCCGACTAGTAAACCATGTGCAAAAATTGATTGTCCTCCTCAGCTGGTCTTTGGAGAATGGTCCAAGGTGAGTAAACCTCAGCAATGGTGAACCAAAACCCTCAACAGCAACATGAGCCCCAAAGATTTCTGCTTGGGTGAATAAGCTGTTTGGAGCAATAAATTGACAGGGCAGCTGAAGGTTTCACAAGACATGTGCCTGCACTAAACTGTTCATGCAGTTGCTGTTCATCCATGCCTACAAATCAGACTGATCGCAGCCGCTGCCCTGAGTGGTGTTTCAGTTGCTGAAGGACAGACTGTAAAGCACAGCATTCATTCTACCAGAAGTGTTTACCTATCAATTATTTCATGGGGCAACTTCCAAAAAGCAAATCTTTGCATTATTCTGGAATGTGTCCTCCTCCTTTCACGTTTAATGCAAGCTTGCTACCACTTCCCATTCAAGAAGATTTAGAAAAGTGAATTTAGAAGCTGCAATTACAGGTCAAGGCAGTATGAGATCAGAGAGAGGGCTGAGAGACTTGACAAAGCCTGTTTTAGAACCTGCTGAATTGTTTCTCTCATACTAGATCTCATTGCTCTGTTCTGCCCGTGGTTGGACATATAGAAATACTGGTCTGTTATTTTAATTCCTGAGTTGCTTGCTGGAAAAACTCTTTTTATTCATATTGTCTGGAAAAGTGGAAGTAGTCTAATAACTATATAACACAAGGATTCATATGAAGCAGAGCATGCACACTCCCTCTCAGAACTAAAAATTAAAAAACCCCACAACAAAACAAGCTAGTTTAAAATTAGCATGTGTGGTGTGGGACACCAAGCTTAGCTTGTCTGTATCCTTCCTTTCACAGTGCTCAGTAAGCTGTGGTGTTGGAATCCAGAGAAGGAAACTTGCCTGCCAAAACCTAACAGCAAAGGGCCAATATGTCACATTAAATGGATCAATGTGTAGTGGTCTGTCTCCTTCACTGCTTGTAAGGTCTTGTCAGATGAATGCCTGCAACAGTAAGTATGTTACTTTATCTAGTTTCTTGCTGATTTGGAATGATCTGTTTAAAAAAGAGAAATCTGTATACATGTAAATTCACTCATGTGCCTACACTTACACAACATTACTAATCTGGCACAAACTGTTGTAATTACTAGGCCAGTAATAGCATGGTTTTTTTTCTACCAGTTAGAAACATAGGTTATTGTCTCGAGAAGCAGTTTTTGAATACATTTTAAGGTACATAGCTCTCACCTTCATATTTACCCATATTTGATCTGATTTTTCCTTTATCATTTACTCTATTCCAACTAAAAAAAAATACATAAATTTACTATAAATTACAAAAGGCATTAGAAAAGATAAGAATCCAGTTCTGCCTTGTCTTTTCACTGTACATTTGTATTACACTGGACATTTCGCTTAGCATGGTGGAATTCAAAACCTGAAACTCTGTGCCAGTGATTTTCAGTATAATTTCTATCTTTCCTTGTAGAAATTGGAATCCCAGTCTCATGAGCTTTGCAGGAAGTAAGGACAGTACAGGAACTTCTCAAATAATCCAATATTTTGTTGCTGTCTATATAAGAACCTTTTCAGAAAGATTGTCAATAGAAATTGTACAATTTGGGCACAGTTGGGTTACAATACTGATGGTAGTTGCACTAATTACATGTGTGTAACACCAGTGGAAATACCTCACTGATACAGAGTATGTTCAGTTACACACACTAATTTGGAACAGACAGTTCTAAATGCAGGTTCCTTGTGTCTGAACCTGTGCTCCTCTTCCTTTTTAAAGGAGAGCAGTGGTTTGCAGGTTTGGGGAGCAGGGTGCTGAGAAGAAAGGAAGAAAGCAGAGCTTTTACTTTTGAGTTGGGGGAAAACCAAAAGCCTTCATCAATGGCCTGATTTTGATCACAGATCAGATAGATATGTTTTGACCCAACTCATAGTGCTGTCAAGAAATAGCTACTTTATGCATTTTGAAGCTTTGCTTTAAACATTATTCACAAAACAAAATAAGAAATAGAATAATTACTGATTCATACATAATATGAAACTTCTTTTCCTGGCCTGCATTTCAGATTAACATGCCAAAATCCTGAGGTTCAAAACTCCACTTTAAATAAAGCCCTGTGGACTTTCAGGAATGTCCTTGGCATAAGGTTTAATAAAATATTTTGAGCTGCATATCTATCTGAATTTAATTAATTGTGGATAGTTGAATGGCAGTGTAGCTGATTTGCAAATTGCTTAGCTCAGACTGATATAAAAGTCACAATGTCAGCTTCCAGCACAGTGCCAAGAGAGCAGGACAGTGGACTGCAGAGGGAAGCCATCAAACTGGATGGGTGCAGATCGAAGTCACGAAGAGAATCACTGTCATCTCCTTCCATGTCCACAACCCTTTGGAGTGAGGGAGCCCTCGCAGCTCAGATTTGCCTGGCAATTCTCCTGTCAGGAGGGCAGGGGAAGGTGTGAGGCATGTCTGTACCCATTGCTCCAGTTTGGCTCTTGCAGAAGGAGCCAGGGCAGGAGCAGCAGCAGGCTTTGGATTCATAGGAACATACAGGAGGGGCATCTCCTCCTCCTGCAGCTGTGGGTTCAGGTTGCCTTGAGGTTGGAGTGAGTAGAAGGCAGGAACAGAGGATGGCCTTAGGATGGGCAGGCAGTGAGCTCAGTGAGCTCTACGCGGAGTGATGTGGGCTGGGTGAGGAGCAGGGTGGGGTGGGGTATGTGGGGGGGTGTGCTGTTGGGCGTTCTTGCCTTTGTGAGTGGTTTCTGAATGTACCTCCTTGAGATGGTGCTTCTGTGGCTCTAATGAGTGCCTTCTTTTTTACTGTCTCATGACAGTGCTGAGTCATTTTAGACTTAATCTTTTACCCTGAGACTGGTAATTGTAGCTGTTTTCTGACTTAATAGTGCTTATTAAGTAGAAACATTCCTGACTCTGGGCTCTGAGAAATAGGAAATAACAGCAGTCTAGCCCTGAGGTCACCAGGACCTGAAACCCAGCTGAAGCTGTTCAGGACTGTTGGAGGTCACAGATGCAGATGGATTTGTATCAGGTGATAATGAGGTCCAATGGCTCCAGCAAGCAGGATTTACCTTTACTCTCACCCTCTGTTACCTCAGCAGCTGCAAGATTGGATGACACTAAGGATCCAGAGAATGCACACTTATGTAACCTCATACATTCATATGACCTTATGTACTTGTATGGCCTGCCATCCACAACTCTGAACTTTGTTTCACACTGAGCCTTGCTCACCAGTCACCAGTAAAACTAAACACACCCTTTAGCGTTGAACTGCTAATGAGAGTTAGTGGTCTGTCTTTTTTTAAAAAATGAAATGGATGAGACTTGTTAACATATTTATAAGTATGCACTGGGTTTAATTCCATGTTGGAATAACTAGTGTAAACAGACCACAGCCTGAAGTATTTTAATTTGTGTGTTTAAAGTTACACTTACTGTGTCTGCAAGTTGGATTTTGGAAATGGAAGATCTAATACTGGAATGCTTCCCTGAAAATAAATATTTGGGGTCCAATAAATTATTAAAAACAGGACGCTACTTTAATAATTTTTGTATACCGAGTGCCTAAAGCAATTTATTTGTTGTACCACGTGAAATGGTTGAGGGAACCATGTATCTGGATAACAAATCCCAATTTAAAAGCTGTGTAATTTTGAAACCATGATATCCCCACAGGTCTGAACTCATTACCCAAAACATTGAAAATAACCATTTTGTTTTATAAGCATGAGAATGTACTCTAGGGTGTAGTTCCTACAGTGTACACACTTATTGAATGCTTGAAGCATTTAGCTTTTCACCTATTTCTTCACAATGTATTTGAAGCACATATATATGTAAGAGGCATGCAGCTTTTCAAATATCATTTGTGTGTCATCAATGTAGTTGTCTTTATATTTAAGTACCTACCAAATGGAATAGTAGTACTGATTTCAGATGTAGACATGCTGAGAAGTGTTTTGATCTGTGTGTCCATTTCCTGGCTCATCAGCTCATTCTGCAGGCTCTGAGTTTTCTCTCTGTCACATACCAAAAGGCTGGGTCACCAAACACAATTGGGTTGTTTTCTAGCACCAGCATCAGTGTTTCCTGACTCTTCCTATCTGGCCAATGTCACCTTGCATGGAAGAGCTCAGAAGTTCATGCCCTTGCTCCACACCTCCTCCTGCAGTGCTTTGTTCCCTACCTGCCCAGTGCTCTCAGTCAGATTAGTTCTGCTGATCAAAGCAGGGCACAATGCTTGCCAGCAGTGAGTCAGCACAGTGGTATCCAAAACATTGCAGTCTCCAGTGTGCCTACCCAGGCACTGCTGGGAAAGGCTGCTTTTTGGTGGTATTCATCCAGGCAGCTCCCTAGAAACCTTCCAGCATCCAGGTGCCTGGAGGAGGAGGAGCTTTGTAATATCCAGTGTCTCCATACCCAGCCTGCATGAAGCTTTGTGCTGTTATTGCCTGCTTTTGTCAGTCCATTTGATTATTGTATTCAACCTCTCAAATTTTTGCCTTATTTCTCTATTTCCTCGCTTCCCCCCCTCCTTTCTTGGCACAACACTGTGAGCGACTCATCTTTCAACCCAAAGAAATTACCCTCAGCCAGTGATTACAGGGCGGCTTTGCCTTCTGCATGTACTGTGTCTTCATTGACTGTTTCTGTCACCTCCTGCATTGCTATCAGTTTGGCTTGACTCAGACAACCAGCAGGGCCAGCCAGCAATTTAAATCACAGTCAAGGGGAACCTTGCTTTCTGGATAGGTTTTGTTTCATTTAGGTCATTCTGTACTCAACAGTGCTCAAATGTGGGGAAACTGATAATGTGTTCACGTTTTTTTTTATTCAGTTTTTTCATTCCCATCATGCCTAGCCTTTCTGAGGCAGGAATAGGAAGTATATAGGTAATAAAACCATAATAGGATCATATATATGGAATAATATATAATACACGTATATATACATTTACATATGTGTGCACCATCTACATCCTTCATATAGGTATATGTTGCCTGTATCCTTTCATTGTTAAGAGCCTTGGGAAAGAAGCAATAGAATTCTTGGCTGGAGCAGCGGAATGTTATGGTTTCGTATTGTTCATATTTTTGCATTTTTGAGACTCAGATAAAAGCTCCGCATGTTGCAGTCTGACCTGAACAAAGTCAGGAAAAGCTCTGTGAAGTATTCTGTGAAAAGCAGATTTTATAAGCATGACTGCCAATGATTAGATGCTTTTCAACACTTTGTTTTCTTGCAGAGATTAAACCTAAGCTTCCAGGAAAGTTTTCTGCCCATGGACCTCAGATTGTCAGTATTCATCGAGTCTATATTCAAACAAGACAAGAGAAGCGCATTAATTTTACCATAGGGAGCCGAGCCTACTTACTTCCAAAAACATCTGTTGTAATTAAGTGCCCTGTACGAAGGTTCCAGAAATCACTTATCCGTTGGGAGAAAGATGGACAAGTCTTACAAAACTCCAAAAGACTTGGCATCACTAAGTCAGGCTCGCTGAAAATACACTGTCTGGAAGCTACTGATATCGGCGTGTACAGGTGTATTGCAGGCTCTGTGCATGAAACTTTTGTCCTCAAGCTCATTGGTACTGACAACAGACTGATAGAACCACCAGCCCTTAGAAAACATGCCAGTGAGACCAGTAATGCAGATCACAACGAGGCCAACAGCTTTGGGGCCAAATGGCATAAAATGAGCAAAATGTGGCAGATGTGGAGTAAGAAGAACGAGCTCTATCTGGGTGACAGGCAAGTAAACGATCAACCGTTCCTTCGAACCCTCGAAAGCTTTGGGAGTAATTCAGCAGAAGGTTTCAGCTCCCGTGAGTTCAAGAACAAGCGCCTGGAGGCGGCGGTTCTGCAGGGCGCCTACAGCATGGACACCGTGCAGTTCGAGGAGCTGATAAGCAACATGAGTCAGCTCATTGAAACGGGAGAAGTCAGCGATGACTTGGCATCCCAGGTCATTTACCAGTTGATTGCTGAGTTATCTAGGCCTCCACAACCAACTACCGAGAAGTGGAAGGGGGCCCAGGATGAGAAACTTGCCTCAAAACTCGCAAGCAAATCGCCAAACGAATCCGAGCGTTTTGGCACAAAAACAGTTGATAAGTTAATGTTTGACCAGAAGGTTCCAGTTATTATGAGGCAAAAGGAAATTCCTCGAGTTTCCCTCAACAAAACAGTAACTGTAAGAATTGGAAATACAGTTTTTCTGACCAAGAATACTGGGACTGTCAATCTACTGTGTGAAACAGCTGGTACTAGTGAAGTGAAATATACTTGGACGAAAGATGGCGAGACATTAAAAGCCTCTGAGAAGTAAGTAAATAGCTTCTCTTTTACTTTTGACTGACTTATGTCCCTTTTGACTGTGAAAATCCCCCCTGCTGTGCAATATTAGAACATATCTCATAAAAATGAGATAAGCATGACCACTGGGCCTTCCATCTTTTTAGTAAAGTAATTTATTTTTGTTCTTTCAAGTGTCTGTCATGTTGTTTGGCTTTACTAACATCCAAGTGTTTGTCCTTTCCCTGATATTACGTGGGAGGATAGACTTTTTTTACAAGGTGAAGTGTTTTGGATGTCCTTATTTTGTGATCTGCTGTAAGCATTTCATCTGTGTCAGAAAAAGGGCAGATTTATCCTCAAATTAGGAAGCCTATTGGATTCGTTCAGATACCAAATACAGTGGGAACACATTAAAAATATCTGCCATGGTATAGATGAAAATAAGTCTTAGCTCCTAACCATTTTAAGAAAGAAAAATATCCCTGGTATCCTCACCATCCTTCAACACAGTAAATGTTTAGGTATAACTGGAGCTGCATAACTTCAATTGAAAAAGAAAAAATGAGCTTCTATGGATTTTTTTTTCAATAGTTTAAAATGTTTCTGTTGAGGTCAGTGAAATACAGAGCAATAAAGAACCTATATTACCATCACGTTTGAGAGCCATACCTGAAGAACAAATACATCAAGAGTGTGTAATAGTTCAGATATTTGCTCAAGACTGAGTAAATACTTCTACTTCATTGCTGATAAATTAGAGTCTCACCTGATAATATTAACATTAACTTCGTGTGTGAGCCTCTTGGAATTACAGCTAGCTCTTGAGTAATGAAAAAACGATTCTGAAATGATAAAGGCACTTTTGGATATTTCTCAACATACTTAACTGATTAAATGCACTGCCAAGAAAAATATACTTCTGCAGAGCTATCAATTAAAGCAAAGACACCAAACCCAAGCCATTTTAAAAAGTGAAAATGTTTTTGGAACCATGTAGCTCCCACCAGTTATATTTATTTTATGAAATACACATAATTTTCCATTAATTTATTGCAAATGATCCTTTGATTTTTTTGGATATGATGGTGTTTTGTTTATTCACAAGTATGTTTGCTTCCTAATTTTAGCTCAGACTGATATTCTTTCACTTAAGGCATATATTAGCAAAGTAGGTTTATTTCCTACTTTTTTGCCAGTAAGATTTCTTGTACACAAATCCACATATATGTGCGTGGAGTCAAAAGCCAGTGACATTAATAGTGTTGCATCTGAAAAAGAGTGCGAGGAGGTAAATGGCTGTTTATGTTTCAGGTTTGTAAAGAGTGATGTACTTGAGCCATGCACGAGGGGGTTTGTTTTTCTGAGATGCAAGTATTTTTAATTTTATTTTTTGTGGATCTATTTTGTAAGTGTACTCAGTGAGGGAAAATACCAGATCTGCAGGGTTTTTTGGATTCAGTGCGTGTAGGGTAAGTCATGAACTTTAGCACTTAGAAAGGTAACAAGGGAGAAATATTTTTATTTTCAGACTCTTTCCCAGCTTGTGATGCTCTCTCTAATATTTTACCCCTCAGAGGGCAGGCCAGGTATTCAAGACACCTGTGAGGTTTTGGTGGAATATTTTAGCTTTAATGAGGGTATTAAAAAAGCCCCAACAATCCCAACCCCACAGTAATCTGAAGTTGGACCACATACCTTCGAATGTCCCAATCCTGCTGAAAACCAAGCTTGCTGTGGAGAGATCGATTTCTTGCCAAGCCCAATACTTTTAATTGTGGTATTCTGATTTATTCATGCTGTTGTTCCCAAGGGATCCTGGTTTGTAGTAGCAAACCCTCTGTCCTTTCAAGACCTGCAACTGGGACACAGCTTTGTAGAAGAAGGAGATCTGAAGAATCTTCCATGTGTGTATCCCTGAGCATCTCCCGTCTGTCACCAAAGAGGAGGCAGATCTGTTACTGTGTGTCCTGCTCTAGAACAGTAAACTCCTAAAAAGGACTTTTGCTGCTGTATCTGTAAGTCTTGCAAGAACACTCAGCAGGGTTTGACCCAGGGTAGTAACCCCTGTATTTCCTTGACTATTCTGCAGAGTGATCCTGGACACCATTGGAAAAGTGCAGATTCGGAATCCTACCCAAAGGGAACTCGGCACATATGGATGCCTGGTTGTTAATGACTTTGGGTTTGATACAGAAACATCAGTGCTATTGCGTGCAGGTAAGACTGTAGCATCTGCAGAACTGGGCTTTTATATATATATATATATATATATACATGCATATATATATGTGTGTGTGTGTGTATAAATATAAATATATAAGCAACCATCCCCACTGCCATGTGAAATAGTTTATTTTATTGGCAATCCATGAAACTCTGCCTGATTTAATAGGCATCAATAAGATGGTCTTGTTGCTCTAAGTGCTCTAAAACCACAACAGGTGTGAGTTCAGTCTGTCCATATCTATCCCACCTGTATTTTCTGGCTGCAGCTTTGCAAAGTGAATTCTGTTCCAAACATAATGAATTCAAATACAGGATCTATATTTATAAGCCAAATAAAGCTTTTAAAATTTATTATCCCTTTAATTTCAAAGAGATTCCTGTCATCTTGTCCTCTGTGTTAAATGTGACAAATCTGGAAGCCAGAAGTTTCTCAGCAGTTGTTGGAGATACAATCGTGGCAAGAATTGGAGCAAATATTATGATTGAGTGTCCAGTGAAAGGTAAGCAAAGAACTGCACTGACATTCCTTGTAATGTTGGAATCGGAAGTTTACCTTATATCTTGAAATAAATTACCAGTGAAGGCAGAAAATCATTGATCATTAGTCTTTTTTTATTAAGCATGTCACCCACACCAGATCTATTTCTTTTCTGCCTGTCACTTCAATTTACACACATATGTTCAGAGTTTCCTTTAAAACTGCTTTTCTTTTCATGAACTGGTCTAGGCCTCCACCGTGGAGCTTAAAAGCCCACCAGAGTGCAGGACTATCTTGCTGCAATAGCAAGCATGGCCAGCTGACTTGCTCATCAGAGAACTTTCCTTATCCCTGTTTGAGATGCACATATGTCTAGACTGTTGTTAAAACTGAAAATGAAATCTCCAGCCATAGCTTAATAGAACTTAAAACCTGACAGTGAAGTAAACTTACCTTTTAGAGCCATCAGTCTGCAGCTGCAGCAAGAAAACAAAGAACAGTGCTGAGCTGTGAGAGCATACAGATATTTTTCTAGCTCAGCATCTGTGGAGGAGCATTAATGTTAGTCAGAACTTATGTGCATTAAGCAGTTCACTGCTTCATTTCATTTTCCAGTCCTTTATGTTGGAAAGGTAGATATTTTCCTTTGAATCTTATCATTGCTATCTTTTAAGTTTAAAGGGTAAGATTTAACTCGCTGCGGCAATATTCCGTCAAATATTTAATAAGCTGAGCTCAGCCTTTTGTGAAGATGATGTGTGAAAGTGCTGATTATCACAAACATTGCAACTGAGTGCAAAGAGCAGCCTCAGAGCAGCCAGAGTGCTGCTCACATTTGTGCTGCTGGGAGGTGCAGATCAGGAGGGTGTTGATACTGAACCAGGGTAGTGATAGAAATATATGTATGCAAATAGCTCTGCACACAATAGTGGCGCCAGGCTGACATATATTAGGACGTGTGGCTCTGCTATTCACCGTTGTACCAAGGCTAATTCTTTGATGAAGTAATATTTTCCGACTATAGTTTGGCAACTCCATGTATAACTGACCTACATCTCAAATTCAGCAGAGAGTTCATGTCACACTGTTAATATTAATATGGTTAGGATGGGTAAGCAGTTAGCAATTTAAATATAAATTAATATTTTCACATGGGACTGTAGATTTCCAAATGCTTCAGAATTGTGTATATTCGTGAGCCAAACTTTAGTTATGCTGAGACACCAGTGTTGACTTAAAAAATGATTTATCTAATTACTTTATTTCCTGTCATTGCCAAGGAAGTAAGTATTGCTGTTTGTGAATAAAATAGAGCTCGCATGTCTTAAAATGTCACTAAGTCTAGAAGCAGAAAAACTTTTGCAATGATGTAAGAAGATTTTTCCTGTTCTCCTTTCCTTGAATAAAAAGTAATAAACCACTGACTTCAGAAGACTGAACTTAATAGCACTTTATGCTAATACGTTTGTCTAATAGATGGGACCCAAAAATATGTCTATTTGCAGAGTAGGAGGATGAGGACTTTGTTGTGAATGCTGACAAAGCATCATGTGAATGATCAGACAAACAAGAGTGTGAATAAGAAAAGAATACTAATATTTCTATGCACTCCAAAAGTTCCTACAAACAGGCAGTGTGAATGTTCAAGAGCCTTTTATCATTGTCATACATGTTGATTTACAGGAATGATCTCTTGCATTCTTGGAGGAATAGCCCACTCCAAACCCTTGCAAGTAACCTCTGGAACAAAAGTGCCGTTAGACAGTGATAAAACGTGACTGTCAGCTGAGGATCTCTTAGAGTCACCTGTAAAAATAATTGTAAGAGCCTTTCTTTCAGTGTCAGGGAGACCTTGACTAGATCTGGAGCACTTCTTTCTCGCTGCCTTTCCTCCTGATTGCTCAGAGACAGGGATGTGTTTTCTCTGTGGATGACAACTTCTCTACCTGTCCCAAGTCTTTGTGTTCTCCATGTTCTCCTTGTTCAGGATCCTTCTACACAGACATTACTCGTGCAGATTTCTCTGTGGTGTCATGCAGATACATTTGATCTTTTGGCCTCTCACTAGTCCACAAAACTCCACAAGATGAACCATCTAATGAATAAGGTGTCTGTGTGTGTGAAGAGTATTAGTGCCATGCCAGTAGCAGAATTCTTAAATTACTTCTGAATGTCTTGGCTGCAATGACTTCTGAAGGCTTTTTTTTTTCTGTAGGATAAATAACCTAAAGTACTTTTTAGAGTTGTTCAATCCATAGTTTCCTCTGGGAATAAATCTACACATTGAAGATGTAAAGATTAATATTCTGTGCAGTGTTGGCCTGTTGAGTAAAGGGGTTTTCTCTTTTTCATCATTACTGATTTGATTCTTTTGTCCTTTTGAAAGCTTTTCTTGCACACTCCAAAAATCACATTGAGATTGAAAAAAGCCTTTGAAATGCTGAAGAGCAGTGTATCCTAATAAACAGGAAAGCATCAAAGAACAGACTAAGAAAAGTTAGCTGAACTGCTGAAGCTGATGGTATCGCTTTCTTTTCTCTTTTCAATTTATAACTAAACTATTTTTCCACTAATTATAATAAACTCACTTTTATTGCTCCCACACGAGCATACACTAGGAGATATTCATGGCAGTCTGGATAGATTCATATTCCATTCTTACAGCCAAGAGCTTTTCAATCAACACACATGGTATAAATATCAATACTGATTACTCCAAATTGCTCTTGGATAACATTTATTGTATTTGCAGAAAAGATCACTTTGTGATTATTGCGAAAATAAACTAAAACTGTCAGACTCCATTTATTGTAAAACCTTTGAAAGTTCTAGGTTGAAGTAAAATAGGGGGGAAAGTGGAATTACATATAAAATGTGCGTTGTCTGCCACTTGCTGGTGAGAGAGTGGAAGTGACACACACTGAGCTGAGGTTGTTTATACTTTACATTGAGGCTCTGAAATATCTTGGCACCGAGGCCTTGAAGAGCAGAAACTCCATCTTCATCCAAATTCTGCATTCCTATGAATACATTTTGGCACTCTAATAATAACATACTGATAAAAAATTGTGAGAAATACACAAAACCTGTTGTATCTTTTTGCACAGAAGTTTCACAAAGGTGGACTAACTACTTGGTGTCAGTATTGGAACTTGAAACTGGTCCAGAAAAATCAAGATTTTGATTTTCCATCTGTTCCTTCATTTACCCACACTATTCCAAATGTGACTTTGATGCTATTTTTTGTCTTCTATGCTTAACCCCTCAGAAGACACCAGTGAAGAAATATAGTAGTTTAATACGTAGGATTCCGGCTCTTAATTTCTTTTAGGTTTTTTGTGTGTTCTAAAAGATATTAATAATAGATTCCAGAAATTTGAAGGGGTGAGTAGAGATTTATTTTATGAGGAAGGAATGGCAGTATTTATAATATAAGGAATATATTTTCCTCTTATGCTTTTTACAGTAAGTGCATCTACTTTAGAGTTTTTGTTTGGATCAGACATAAGTGGGAAGAACTGACAGATGTACTTCAGAAGCTTAATTGTGCTTTGCTATGTGTTTTTTAACAGTCTGGGAACCTGAAAACTTTGGATATACCTAAACTGAAAGGTGTGCCTTTCAGTTCAGGTGTGCCTGGGGACTATGCCTGTCATTTTCCCAGTATTAATGGACAGTATGTCCAAGGGTCCAGGCAAGATTCACCAAGTGGTCCAAAGCAATCCTCATCCCAACACTCATCAAGAGTGTTTTGGGACCTCAGTACCTACTGTGTCTCTTTAAAAGCACATTCCTAAGGTCCTTCACTACTTTCTGATGTAGATGTAGCCTGCAGACTTCAGGGAGGAGGGGGGAAAACAAAAATTGAAATAGTTTACAGCATTGCTTTTTTTTTCTCTCACGGCTTTGCTAATTGGAGGAATTTCCTTTAAATTCTTAATTCATGGGGAGTTAAGATGGGTTGTATGACAGTAAAATTTCAAATGCTTCCTACTTCAATTTGCGAAAAAACTGTCAAGAAGTTCCCTAGGCAAAGTTTAACATAATCTAATAGTGTAAAGGAAGAGGCAAGCTCGCTGGTTAGCACCTGATTGAATGACTGAGAGGAACAAGTGGTCAAATTTACTGTGGAGAGAGGGTAGGGTGCCCCAAAGACTGTGCTAGTATTTGTGATTCTCAGCATTTTTATAGAAGTTCTCAAAAAGAATGTGAGCAGTTAGTTGACTACAGCTTTAAAGAATGAAGATTTATACAGGCTAATTGGATCTAAAGCTCTGCAAAGAGTTGCAGCAGGATCACACAAGTCATGTTTAATAGCTAAATGAGGGCAAAGGGTGTTCTGAATTGATATTGCAGAATAAATGTACACATAGAGCAAGTAATTCTAAAGACAGACATATAGACATGTCTGTACCTGAAGACTGTCACTCAGAGAAAGATCTGTGGAGTCATGGTGGGTAGTTCCATGGGAACACCAGCACACTTGCTGGGTGCTGGCCCTAAAGGCAAATCAAATCTAATGACAGGGGAATGGATGGAAGAATAGAAAATATAAACTGGTCATTGCTTAAAGCTCTGGTGAGTTTTGTTTGCAGCTTGTTAATCTCATCTCAAAAACTATATATTAGTGCTGGACGAGGTAGAGAGGACAGCACTATTAGAGGAAGTAGGCTTGATGGTCTGAGGGCTACTTCTGGTCCTGGAACATAGGAAGGTATATTGAGGAGGGGTCATTCAATAAGTGCCATGACTTTTGTAGTCTGCCTACACATCCCCAGGTACCCATCAATGGACAATAAGTGCTTTTAATTGGACTTCAGGTCTAACGAAGGGTAGCAATTCCTCTGTAGTTCTTTAATTTCTGATGAAATTATATTTTCCAAGTCCCTGCATGGGTATGTACTTTATGATGATAAATGTCTGAGTCCTTGGTGATATAGCACTGTTAGTCAGTGAAGTGAAAGTATAATTTCCACAGTTGGGCAAAACAGTCTCTGCTAACAGTGCTGGATTGTGGAACTG